TCCGTCAGGTAGATACAAGCAAAGCCTTCTATCAGTGTATAATCTATTCGAAATAAGATGCAGTCGATGCGGTATGACCATATCACCCCAATATGGCGACTTACTCCCTAGCAAATAACTACACTGATAGAACGGATTAGTTATTGTTAACGAATGGATTTTGGTTGGAGGTTAGGGTCTATTCGGTCCCACCAAATGTTCATTCGTTAATAGTTAACGAATGTATATTTGACGAGTCTTGTTTGACTTGACTTTCGACATTCAAGTGAACCATTCGTTAACTATTAACGAATATTCATTTGGTCATATTCAACTCTACCATTCGTTAATAGTTAACGAATCTCGTTTGGAATAAATGAATCATTCTATCAGTGTACTATTGAGACCATCGGCAGTGGCGGTGGCGCATCTCAGTGGATTGTACGATCCGCCGAGTTTTCATGTAAGCGACCGTTGTAATGGCTCACTTCATGTTGTATTCCTACGAATGTTTTGTGGGTTACCCATCTAGAAACTGTATGAATTTTCGGACCAAGGACTGGTAAGTCTCACTTACCATATCTGTACCTCGTTTTACAGCCCCGGTATGCTAAACGCCATTTACCCCCTCTCAACACAGCCCCCGTAAGCGCCATTTTTCGGGCCTCAGTGACGAAATAGTATATTTCGTCACTAGGCCGAAGAAACTTTTCTGGCGAATATGAGTTTGCAGCCCGAGCCGAAGGCGAGGGCTGCAATCATATGAGCTAGAAAAGTTTTTTTTGGCCGTATGACGAACAGTATTTTTTGTTATGACGGCCGTAGGCAGAGATTCACGGACGCGGAGCGGAGCGGAGCGTCCGTGAAGCGCTGCCTCACGGCCGGAATGACAAAAAATATATTATCGCCTGTTGACATAATATACTATTAAAAAATACCTGTTGCACGCACGGAGAGAAATATTCAGTAAAAATTACGGAACAATTCACGTAATCCGCAATGGGGAATCATTTTCCGGCAATTTTTATAGGAATGGAAGAGAAGAAATCTGAAACGTTCAGTGAATTCGCAGGTTCATCACCGAACAGAGTACGAAATTGTCACGTAATTTTTCCCGAAGAAGTCAAATCTTACAGGAACTTCCCGACTTATTATGCCTCCAAAATCAAGAATTCTTGAGCGTTCTGCTTTTAAGAAGCTGTTGAGTTATTTCTACCCTCCATTCCGGAAAATTTCTCAATCATTGGGGAAAAATTACGGAACGACATGTTGTCCCCACATCGGTGAATCATCAGACGGGTGGTTAATTTTTACAGAACAAATCGTAGAACTTGCATGACAATTCGTACAATTTCAGTTGCGACTCAAACTTTTTATTGAATTTTACTTGGCTCGCGGAATACGTCTCGAAACGTAATTTTTACGGTTTTTTCTGGTAATTTTTATTGAATGTTTCTCTCCGTGCGTATGAATTGTAGATAAACTATATATATACTGAATTATATATTTCAGTAGTGAAGTGGTCAAACGGTTTAAATCGATTTTGGTTATTGGTCAGTTTTCAATGAATATCTAGTAATCTAAGGGGGATAGCAAAATTTTTCTCATAATCCTTTTAGTAGTACTCAATTCGTTCTACAAAACAGGTCCTTGTGAAAATTTCGCTATCTCCCATAAATTCGAAATATTTCTGGAACACTCAACTGAAGACTAAATTGACTTAAACTGTTTGAACACTTCGTTACTGATTTGTGATAGATGTATTTTTATATATATTCTACGAATTTAGGGATATAATTTTGATACATGGACATATATTTCCGAAAAATATTGATATTTGTACCGTTCGTGCAGTTTGATTCCGTCCATCTGGAGGATTCCCATGGATTGAGCGAAATCGATTACCCACGAAATAGATAAATTCCAAGTATTATTTACAACATCCAAAACGTAAAAGAAGTTACCGTACAAATCATTTTCCCTTTCGACAAATTGACTATTTTAGAATGTCGGTATAATTCAGTGTTCTCCCTCCTCCATCGGATAACCATCAAGTATTAGCCTGTTTGAAACTGTCATTAGCAGCAATGAATTAGTATCAATTTAGATAGCCAATAAAATACAAGTATATGTCTGGGTTCATGTCTCCAGTGGGGAGTGGAAGTCCGCCTTGTCCCCGTTGTTAATATGTGATACGACAAATGCTAGATAGTACAAACGGATTTCAAATGTTGGCGCACGAATACCACACATAAATTATATTTGTCATAATATAAATTAGTGTGGTATTTCTAATGGCAATATGAGCCTTTCCATTTGCCGGTTTGAGTTGTAACAAATCTTGTTGAATTATTACAATCATTTTGTTTTTTAATACGCCATGTAATCAAACATGAGTAGTCTCGTTTCAATGGACTGGGGGGAGGGGGGGGGGACAATAAAGAGGCTTGTCACGTTGACCTTCGCATCCCAGTCGGTTCTGAGTGAGCGAAAAAAAAAACGGGAATCGTATCGAAGTTGAACTTTCTATCTGCCATTAACTATCCAACTTTGCCCAGGTATATCTGTATATTTCGATTGAGACGGGTAGAATTTGGAGAAATGGATATTTTGGCGTGCACGGAGAGAAATATTCAATAAAAATTACCAGAAAAAAGACGTAAAAATTACGTTTCGAAACGTAATCTGGGAGCGAAGTAAAATTCAATAAAAAGTGTCAATCGTCACGTAAATTCTACGATCTGTTCCGTAAAAATTACTCATCCGTCCGACGCCTCACGGCTAGCCATGAGTCACCGTGAGGGGGAGATTTTAACAACACGTTCCGTAATTTTTCGTGAATATTTCTCTCCGTGTGGGAAGAATTCGAGTTTGTTGAGTAATCCAGCTTGTTACACTATCAGAAAATTACTCTTGAAATTTTAAGTGAAAAAGTTTGACATTTTTAACAATGACCAAGTTACATGAAATTTCGGTAGATTTCTTCACTGACTAGTCAATTGATTTCTCGAATATTCAAGTAATTCTCGATTTCAAGGTTCATACGGTACTGAAAAACCCTGAAAATTTTGAAAATTCAGGCAATAACTTTTCTGAATTTTCAATCTGTTGAAAATTGAATTGTATGCGATGTTCAATTTTCACGATGAGTTTGGAAATTCAAGGTTTCATTGAAAAATCAATTATTGTTTAACATGAAAAACCCAATTTTCTTGAATTTTCAAGATGAATGAGAACTTTACTGTACGCTTTCATTTGAATTGGAATTCCACCGAATTTCCAGCGAAATATAAAATTACATGATTTTGTTTTCCACTCAATCAAATTCACTATGGCTCTTCATAAAATTATTAGTAAACTGTCCACGAAATTTTAGTTTTCTCTGACAGTTAAACATCTTATTTTCCTGTTTCATGCAACTCCAAATTTCTTCCCCCCAACATAGAACTAAACAAGTTAATATCTCGATTTTAGAAACTAGCGTAATTACAAAGTTTTTATATGAAAAAACGGAAAAACGGAATATCTCGAAAATTTTGTGTGAAGGCGTGTACATGTTATGATTGATTTACATAGAAGGCATCGAAGCGAATATTTTGACAACAAAAAATCGAAATCGGTCCACTAGTTTTGAAGATATTTGCGGAAAAAATTTGGAAACGAAACGTTTTTTTTTAAAAAACGATTAGATCGATCGGGCTGAAACTTTGCACAGAGTTAGTCCTCATTAAGACACATAATCTGACACAATTTCAGATTTTTTGGGATTACTTTAGCCATTTAATTACTCAATTTTCTAAAAATTGACCATTAAGAAGGTGGCAGTAAGCTGTTAAAAATTTTCGTCTGAATTTTTCGTGGCAAATTCTGGAAATTTTCATCGTGTTCAAGTTCCACTGGAATTTCAGGAAATGTTGTTATTGAAAAATCAAATATTCCACTGATTTTCTGTTCAAATGATCTGGAAATCAATAAAAGACTTGATTTTTCCGTTCAAATATTCTGTAAATATTCATAAAAATCAGGAAAATTCAGGGAAAAATTGAAAATTCATGTCATTTTGTTTCTCACCACATGATTCATGTTCTACTGAAAATTCAATCAAGTTGTGAAATTTCCATCTCACTCTCACTGAAAACTCATGAAGTTCCGTGAATTATCCTTAAAACTTGAAATTTCATAACCATTTTTTCCCGAAATCTGATTCAATGCCACTTTGATGAGATTTACTATAACATCTTCCATGAAATTTCAAAAAAATTCTAACAGCGTGGACATGTTCACATACAGACATGGTCGCCAAACTTCGTAAACGTAAATTTACGTTTCAGACCATTCTGCATAATATTCAAAGAAAATTACAGAATGCCAAAATTAGACGATAACAATGCTTCCATTCGGAAGCAAAAATCATCATCACTTGCTTTCCACAGCACATTCTCCTTCCAATCGCAAACGGCTCTAAAGTGAAGGTGGTTTTGCGTGTGAATTCTAGTCAATAGGGCCCTATCAGTTGAAATCGAGATAAATCCAGTCGTTCGTAATAGTCCATGTTGGCATTGAGAGACGTGAGGCCAGGTCACACACAGTGTTGGCAAAATGCTTTGGATTTACACTTGGTATTAGTGGTTGTTACTCTCCGTCAGTGGGACAGTGAAAGGCGACCTAGACCAAGTCTCCTACACCATTGGGGGGGTCTTATGGGATACCTCTGGTGTCTGGATGCTTACAGACTTACATTTGTGTATGTTAGGATATTCAGACACAGTGTCTAATGCTAAACGATGCTCACTCTGTCTACTACGCAACGATTTCTGTCCTATTGTCCAACTACCAGGGACAGTAGGTGGCTGCGGTTTCACTCTCGAAAGAGCTTTCGATTGTAACTGTTTCATAGACTCATTTTCATTCGTTTATAGAGTGGGAGAAACTCTATTGATACTTTACTTTCATTCATGAGCCTCAGTTCATGAGAATTCATTCATTGTTCCAGGTTAATTAATGGAGTATTTTTTTTACAGGCTAACTCTTGCGGAGAATAATTCAGTGGAAAGCCAGAAAAGATGGCGGGTGAGAACGTACAGATTCTTGCGGATGGGACCGTCCACGTGATAATGAGCCCAACAGAGAAACTGTCCAACGGCATTGGTGATGTGCACTGCAACAAGCATAACAACAATGGAACAATAACTTTGCCCAATGGTAAAGTTCTTGAGATAACTGCTGTAGAGAATGGGAAACTCATTGCCAATGGTGATGAGAAGTCCAATAGTCTCCAAACAGAATTCGATGAGGCTGATATTTCCTGCGGATGGGGCCCATGCAGACCGAACTGGTTGCAATTGTTTGCAACTAAACAGGCATTTTTGGTCACATTCTGTCTTACTTGGGTGAGCATCTATTTCATTTATTTTGCACAAGAAATTGGAACGAAAAATATGAGAGATTTTGGCGAAAAATTTAGTTCGCAATTTTGAACATAAATGGGTTGTTACAAATCTAAAGTTACGCTGAAATATCCTGGGGAGGACGACTCTGATCGAAAAAAATTTGGAACACAAATTTTACTATTTTTGAGGGGAAATTGGAAGGCATAATTTTCTTCCGAATCCTGATGAATGCTTCGATGCTACACAAATCAGTAGCGAAGTGGTAAAACGATTTAAGTCGACTCATCTCCCAGTTGAGTTTTTGAGGAATATTTCCGAATCTAAAGGAGATAGCAAAATTTTTATTATAAAATTTTTTGGAGAGTCGATTGAGAGCTACAACAAATGTGATTACGCAAATTTCGCTATCTCCCTTAGATTCGGAAATATTCCTCAAAAACTGAACTGGAAGATCAGTCAACTTAAACCGTTTTACTACTTCGCTACTGAAATCATCATCAGATTCTTCGATAGAAACTAATGATGTGTTTACCTTAACTAGACGAACGTAGGCTCATTTACCTTACCTGATGAACTGCTAAAAGGTACCACCATCATTTTCTAAACACAATGGGGGACTTGCATGAATTCTTTTTTTATTTTGTAATCTCAATTTTCGGCCTTGAATCATCAATTTTCCATTTACAGACATTAGAAATATGGCTCGTTAATTAGGAATTAATTGTCGAGAGTCGAAGATTTCAAATGCTTTGAAATCACTAATGACGTCACAAGGGTGGTCGAACACTGGACCAATCGCAGAATGGCTCACCCCAATCTAGCCCAATCTTCACGTGCGCTTTATCCAATGGATAACGGCAACTCCCCTCTCTCCTCACATTCGACCAACGAAGCGCCATCCGGCATTACTTGTGCCACTTTGTGACGTCATGACCGAAATACTAGGTTTCAACAACGTCTGATTCTCAATCAATTCTGATAACATATCTAGGCAATATTTCTTCATAATTCTTGTCCTTTAGCTGTCTATGGGTTATATACACTGACAGAAAAAATTAATTATTTTATGATGAGAATTTCATTTGAACCAATTATCATTTGGTTGTTAATTTTCAAATAAACATGATTTCATAGTGAATACCAGTTATCTCTTCATGAGATACATTTCATTGGGAGAAATCGAACTTCTCTAGAGTTGAAGTTCCTTTTATTTGTCGTAATAATGACAGTATTAGACTTATTTCTAGCCAAAAGTTTGCTAACTTTAGAAATTCGTTGGTTTATTCAAAAATCAAAATTATTCTCATTACTAAATACGTTGTTATGTCAATCAACACGATCATCTGTTGTTCCAAGAATCGGGATGGATATTGTTACGCCGAAAAAGCTTTGAGATTGTAGTACGATGTCGTTGAGGTGAAAGAAGTTTATATTTCTTGACTAAAAAAAATCGCATTAGTTTACAATCACAGAATTACAGATTACGGCAATTGTACACAAGCTTGGATATCACAAATTTCGTTCAATGTGATGTACGGAAAGCTCAATTTAAACATCGGCTTCATTCGAGAAAACAACATTCAATTCATTCCTCAATGTAATCATCTCCTAGGTACGAATTTTTGATCAATTCATGAAAGTAGAAAATGTCCAGACTAGACTAGAGATTATATTAGGTTAAAATGGATTGAACTTTTCCGTTTTTGTGGTGAATACATGTGACTTGTGTGGGACTTGACGCCAAGGACTGTTTCATTTGATTCAAGTAAATGTATCTCAAGAAGAAATAATAGATATTCATCGTAAGATCTTATTTATTTAAAATTGGTTCTAGTTTATAATACTTGTTCCAAGAACGAGACATCTCAATAAAGATCATTTTTTCTATCCAGTTGGCGAATGAGGAGCTGTGAGAAATAAAGGAACAAAAATTAAGAATGTAAGTGGGTGGTAATTTAGTATGCAAAGAGCATTTCCTACAAATCATGAGAATTGAATGATTTTCCTTGATTTTCACCTTCAAAAATCACTTAATATGGTTGAATATAAATATTCTACGACTTTTGGTTGGGGGGGGGGGGGGGTGAAATTTGTACTAAAGCATCTGATAATGAATTATCTAGGATTGAAGCATTCATCAGGGTTCGGAACAGAGTGGTATCATTCAATTGCCCCCTAAACATAGTAAAACTTCTGTTTCCAAATTTTTTAAATCAAAATTGTTCTCAGGATATTTTGGTGTGATTTTTGAATTGGGACACCCTGTAGATCCTTGAAACTTTAATCAAGATAATTGTTCAATGCATTGGAAGTTGTGAGTTCTTTGTTTAAATCGTGTAATTGTGATTATCAAAGTTGTCAGTCTTGATGTCGTCATTATCGATATATTATATTGTCACCGGAAGTCTATAATTAAAGTAAATTTGAACTTCCGCGATGTCCAGAGAGGATTAGAAATGGGAGTGTATGAGAAGTAGTATCGAGTATTATATATAGAATCAGGTCATTATATTCTTCGTTCAGTTCTGTTTGTGTTTGGCTTTAGCTTAAGTTATCTGCATGACATGTCAAGAAAATTTCGGACAAAATTTTTTGACAAAAGAAAAATTCAAAATGCGGGTGAGGTGAAGTCGTTCAATTTTGAAATTCCTCCACTTCCACGTCGTCGGCCTCAATCCCGACGATGTTTATTTCGTCAGCAGTCCGCTTCTATGTGCCTCTATAAACATCTCATTTCTCTCAAGAACGAGAAATTGTCCCAATTTTCTTCTGCACTCGTCTGTACTCCAACCCTTATATTGTCATTCCCGAGCTTGAATAGTATGTTCCCGAGCCTGAGTAATATACTCGTAAACAATATCATTTTTCTTCATTTTCCGACAATTTTACTCCATTTTGTTATAGTTGAAATGGCATAGGAAAATTTAGTAGCAAAAAGCTAAGCAGTTGGAGTCGATTTAGCTTCGAGTTGAGTCTTCTAGCAATATCTTAGGATCTCACAAGGATAGCTAAATTTTCTTAAGAACTGTTTTGTGCAGGTCTCGTTTTTCTCTAATATAAAAACTAGTGTTGAGGTGAAATCAACTTGAACACCTAAAAAAAAGTCCTCCTGAATCAAGCCGAAGAATGAGTCTGAATCAAGTCGGACTGAATCATGCCGGGAATCGACTTATTTCATGTCGAATTGACGGCATGAATCAAGTCGGACTCGGACAGATGCAAACCGGCATATCGGTCTAAATCAAGTCGATTTTTCAACTTGATTCAGGTCGATTTGGCGGCTTGATTCAAGTCGATTTTTCATTAAAAATTAGATTAGAAAATTAGTGGAAAGTTTACATTTCAGTTCGATTATTCCATGAAAATGTATTAAAATCAAGAAAAATCAGGTAAATATAGTCTGAAAGTTTGAATAAATTGAAAGTTTTGTATAATTTGGTACTGAGTACTCCTTTTCTGTTTGATAATTCATGTTCAATGAGGAATTCTTTTTTTTTTTCTAAAAAATCTGGAAATTCATCGAATTTTCAGCCGTATTGCCTTGAATGTTCCAAAATTTTCTATGATTTTGGAGCACAAGCGGTATTTGATTGGATTACTCAAATACTGAATTTCTACTGGTTGACATTTAGAGGAGGGCATAATCTGTAAAATATGAAATTTCATGATTTTTTGCCGTGAATCGGATTTAATGTCACTCTCATAAAAAGAACTATTGAACTCTGAATGAAATTTAGATTTTCTTCTAATAGTGTATCTTTCCTACTTGGACCAAGTTTTGATTTGACTAGAATCAAGCCGACAAATCGGCTTGAAACAAACCGAAAAATCGGTTTGAATCATGTCGAAAAATCGACTTGAATCAAGCTGAAAAATCGACTTGAATCATGCCGAAAAATCGACTTGAATCAAGTCGGTATCCATTACCTGGAACAGGCAGAATTTCAACGTGAATCACTTCGTTTTTCAGTTTGATTCAAGCCGATTTTTCAGTTTGATTCAGGCCGATTTTACGACTTGATTCAAGCCAATTTTTCGGCTTGATTCAAACCGATAACGGCTCGACACCTTTCTTCTTGAAATAAACCAAAACCGACTAGAATCAAGCTGACGTCGACTTGAATCAGTACATTTTCTTAATGAATACTTTGACTCCTCCATGACTGAAGTCCCTCAAGAAGAATCGATAATAAGCTTTCAGTAACAAATCAACGTTTGCTCAATTGTTCTGTTGATCAGGTGCTTCAAGGGATGTATTATACATACTTCGTCTCAGTGATAACGACGATAGAGAAGCTCTTTCAAATTCAATCAAAGACAACAGGAATCATAATGTCAGCAACTGAAATTGGACAAATCGGTTCATCGCTTCTGCTGACATACTACGGTGGCCAGGGACACAGGCCCAAGTGGATTGCCTGGGGCATGATACTCTTCGCCGCCAGCTCCTTGACCTGCTCTATGCCTCACTTCATCTACGGTGAACAACTGATAAAACAGAACGAAAAACAGTTCAGCGCTGTTGGTCCTGATGGTCAAGGAGGTGGACCTAACTTCACTGATCCCATTCCAGCGAATTTATGCAAATTCAACGGGTATGTTTTATGATGATATTTATGGTTATTTTCTAGTTGATTGAAATGGCATGTTTCGTTATTTGTGGTTTCTATTTTTTTTCACAAGGTCATACGGGAACCCGCATTTGATAGTGGGCTTGCTGAAACACGTGCTAAATTGATAAATGAATAATAGACAATGGTGTAATGATTTTTGATAGGATTAACATGATTATGGAGATACTAGCGATTTTCTGCACGCCCCCATTACAGGAAGAGAAAAATCTGTTGAAAATTACCCTTCAGTCATCGCCTGAATTTCAGCAGATGTACCGCATTGACCGTTTACAAATTTGGAACAAAATTGGAGTGAACAATGCAATAATTCTAGTAAATTTACAATATTTTGAGTCCATCTAAATTATTGTGAATAAATTGACTTGACTCAGGCCTAAATCACCGGCGTAATTTGTGAACAAATTCTCTGTGCACTTGTCTTACAAACAAATCCAAACCTGCACTTTCTCCCATCGCCGCCCTCCTGGGAATCAACGAAGCTCAACAGATTTTTAACAGCTAGAAACCTTAATGGAAATATGCGCCTGTAGAGCAGTAATTGAAAGGTTGGTAAATGTTAAGAAAAAGGGCCCCACTACCAATCCGATGGTTAAGTTTTCAGAAAGATCGGTGGTGGGGCCTTCTTACCATTTACCGTAATAGTGATGCGAAATAATGAAATAGTTTTCCGGATTCGAAGAATGAAAGGACAAGAATGGAAAGGTTTTTGAATTGAAGAGTATTTCAAGGATTAACAGTTTTGCCATAATAAAATTTTCGTTCAAACACAAAGGAAATAATCATTGAAATGAAGCACTCTTCGAAACCGTTGCTCTGTGACTATAACATTGCAATATTTTTGAACAAAAGGAGAATCAACATTTAAAATTTTGTGTTCATGTGACAGTGGAAAAAATTTGTCAATGGAAAGATTCTAAGGGTAAATTCTTACTGAATTTTCAGATTTTTATGATGTCAAATTACCCTTAACCCTAGTCTGGTCACCAAACGCGACCCTGCGACTCTGGTCACTTCCGCGGGGATTCCCCGCCGTTTTATTTAGGCTCTAGCGTTGCCGAATTCACTCTACACTGCCCGGGCGTGCTTAGCGAGGTTCTGGCAACGCCGCCTGATGGGCAATATCATTTAACACGGGAAAAATTAATTCATCTGTTCAAAATAATTTGTTTTCTTTAGGAATTTCGAGAAGTATATTGTTCTAAAAACTACACTAATTCTTTAGACACTTCAATTGACAAATTCAATTTTTTTTTATTTTTCCGGTTAGCCAGTCGATTGTAATTGAAGAAAAATGACGTGCGGTGGGGTTTCCCTCATATGGTGACCAATCTAGGGTTGAATGATGTACAATTCTGCGACGGAACAGATGGATAGGAGGATAGATAGGGATTGATGGGGCAAAGTGGAACGTTTATCATCAACCCAAAATCCTAATACAGTAGAGGCTTCGTATAAGATACCTTAGGGACAGTAGGTGAGTGGAATTCCGGAAACTCCTATGCCCCCACTACGCGCGCCCATAGAGAGGAGAAAAATAGGGATCAGCGGGTTCCAAATAAGATACCTCGCTTGTTGTGCCCGATTTCACTGAAATTTTCATTTTTACTGAATGAATATCGATAACTAATCAATTTATATGTGTTTAATGTTTTGAATTTGTATCGCCCGCGCTCCTTTTTCTCTCTAAATATAACCCCGCGTGATAGAATGGCAGCTGATGTTGGGGGATTGTTGGTGGACTCGAGAATAATCACAGACGAAAAATTACGATTTTTCGATGGGAAAAGTGAAAAAGAAAATCGATGTATATTTCCATTACTTGAAAGAAGTGGTGTGACCCCCCCCCCTCCCCCCTCAAGGTCATTAGACCCTCATGATCACTTCGTTCGTCCTTCCGTCTGAGCNGATAGAATGGCAGCTGATGTTGGGGGATTGTTGGTGGACTCGAGAATAATAACAGACGAAAAATTACGATTTTTCGATGGGAAAAGTGGAAAAGAAAATCGATGTATATTTCCATTACTTGAAAGAAGTGGTGTGACCCCCCCCCTCCCCCCTCAAGGTCATTAGACCCTCATGATCACTTCGTTCGTCCTTCCGTCTGAGCCTTAAAGTAGCTCTACCCTTTTGGGGTTATATTTCAATTCAAAGATTTTTAAAAACTACAACAAATGACCTAAAAACTCGGTGTGATTCGGAATCGTAATTTTTTTCCTCATTTAATTGTTCAAGTTTTTCTAAAAGGAAATGTTGAAAATCCATTATTTAACACAGGGTCTTATGTGAAAAACGCTGAATTTACGACAACTCCGGTTAAAACAAAGATTAAAATCTAATTTTTTTTCCTAAAAACGAGAAAAACAATAAAAAATATTGGCACCTGTTGGATAACGATTTATTGTTTAGTTTTTTTTTTTATTAATAATACTGGCAACAGGAATAGACATGACAACAGTGACCATGTGATGGCGCCCGCTCCGCTCGTCTCCAACTTCCCATATGATTTATTTTAAAAAAATTGATATAAGATAATAGTTATGCTCATGACCTCTATGATTTATTTTAATAATTTAGAGCTAGAAATACTGATTTTTAGAATGTATTTTTTGTGAAATAGACTCAACGACTCCAGCCGTAGGGGTAGAGCTACTTTAACACCGTTTGATCCTTATAACTACTCTCTTTTCGTTGAAAAATGGCCGGGGCCATAGGTATCTTATAAGAAGCCCCGGAATATAAACATTCGAAAGGCGATAAAAGTGCCGAGAGTGGTGGTAGGCCTTGAACGCTCGGAGCGCGAGATATCTTATAGAGAGGTATCTTATACGAAGCCTCTACTGTATCTGTGTTTCGATTTTGAAGCACAAATATGACGAATTAAACTGTATTAAATAATAACCAGCAACGAAAAATTTGACACCAGTACGATCTAAATCAATTGAAAATTCGGTGAAAATTCATTCCCCCAAAAATTTTCCTATAAATACAGTTTCGCAGAGCCACAGTATATCAATCTATTCATGACCCAGTAATATTCTTTTCGTCACTGGTATATTTCATGCATCTTCTTGTGACGAGTCCGGGCATGAAATGTTTCATTCATTTCATCGTATTCAACGGAAAAAATTTTCTAAGAAAAATTATTAGGCATCAGGTTTTTACGAGTCGTTCCCTTTCCACCCCCAAGCCCCTGTATCACATTCGCCGAGGACAAGGGAAAACCTAAATTTAGGAAAAAACCTGCCCAGGTAGTCGTCTCTTGTGAGACTTCCGCTCGACAATGAAATTGTGAGATGTAGAGTGTCACAAATTTGGCGCCCAAGCCGGGAAGCGAATCCGGGTTCCCCGACATACCAACCCCACAGTCACTGCCGTCGGTATATTGGAATAATATTATTGTATATGTTCCTAGCAGAGGTTCATGATTGGTGGTTGAGTTAGTAAAGTTATTTGTGGCCGTCCACATGAAAAGAATTTACTTCATCGATCTTAGTTTATCATCTACGTCACTGTTTGATTTTTTTTCATCTACATTAACATGACTATTTTGAAAATGATTCGTTTTTTTTGCTCAAAATTTGTGGAATTTCAACAAAAGTTCCACGGTATGTACCTCAAATCATTTGTCTCTTCTTCGCGTATATATTTCAAAGCATCCTAAATTTCAGAAGAGGTTGGACGCAATATTAGGTTTTTCTAATGAAACATCAACGATAAATAAAACAGTTTAGCGGGTTTTAAGAAGTGGATTTAAGATGGAGTTGTATTTTAAAGTTCCCATCTGTGTTATTTTGTAGATTGATGTTAGTTATTTGGCCTAGACGGTCTCCAGCAATGTGACAGGTTCAATAAAAATTAAAAGGATTTTTTGTCGATAAACCAACATTTCGGCCTCCCAAGAGACCCTCATCCAGGGTTCCTATGAGAACCCCTATTTAATCTTCTAATCAACTATTCAAACTATATAAATTACATTAAAAAAACCATGCAAGTCACATATTACAAAAATTATGAAATGTTGATACGTACGTAAAAAATCAGAAGCAAATCCGATCAATATAGAAATTTAAAAAAACTGAGGTTTCTCATGCGTAAGAAATATTTTTCAAAAATCGATTCTATCTTGACATTGTCTAGTTTTTTTTGCTTCCGAATGGAAGCCTTGCAATCGTTCAATTTTTACTTTTTCTAATTTTGCTTGGAAATAATGTAGAATGGTCTAAAACGAAAAAATACGAATTTTGAGCACCCTATGTGTTTCTAAATGGTCATCGGGTGGTCACTTTTTCGTAAATTAAATGAGTAAACGGCTAAAACACTTCCAAAAAATTTGAAATTTTGTCAGATATTGGTATTGAATTGGAATACTTCTCTGTAAAATTTCAGCCCGAACGGTCCATTAGTTTTTGAGAAAAAGCAATTTGTTTTTGTTTGGTTTTTCGTGGATATCTCAAAAACTGTGCAACCGATTTCTATATATTTTTTTTAGTTGATCACAACTAAAAAATAGTTTTATAACAGTAAATAGTGATAACAGTAATAGTTTATTGTTAATAGTTTTATAATAGTGTTAATAGTTTTATTTTATTTTTCAAAATATTCGTCTCAATTTCCAAGCAAAATTAGAAAATGTAAGGAGCAAATGATTGCAACAAAGTTTTGAGCAATTCCCCAAGTTGAGGTGAAAGGAGAAAAATTGAATTTTTGTACTTCATTTAATAAGTATACTATAATTACAAATTTATTTTCAATTTCCGTTCGTTTTTTGCTTCAGAATGGGAGCATTGCATTCGTTCAAAATGCCTGTACGACCTCTAACTCTTGAAAAAAAACAAGATATTAACGTAAAATTTGGTACAGGTTTCTACAAAAAAAAATATCTTGCTCAAATCATTCGGAAGCTTACCATCAATTTATTGATGGCAAAAAAGAGATTTACATACGATTTAGTAACATGTCTGCAGTCGCATACGTGCTGTCGCCTACTTATTTTTTTCAATTTTGAGTGATTTTTTTGGCCTTTCCAATTGGAATTACCATTTCCATTGAATTGTAGACAAATGACCTGAAATTTAAATTGCAAATTTGAAGATTTCAAACATCTTAATCATTTTTACTTGAAGTTTGAGGTGAAATTTCCCACAAGTGTATACGTTTGGTTGTTTTTTCACATCTCATTAAATACCATATTTCCATAATGAGTGATTTGAGATAAAAACGTCCATGGAATTTGCCGTTTGCAGTTGATTCAGCTGTAAAAGGTCTCTCGCTATTTCCTTCTGGATTCACTCGTCTGACACGTGGAATTCTTGATTAAAAGATGTGAGATATTTGAATAAATATTTTTCATTTCTTCATTAAACCTTTTCAGTAGTTCAAAGTTTCAAATTTATATTTTTCCTGCGACCTTCCATTTATAGGGAAATATTTTCAAAACACAATCATAGCAATGCGGCGAGTCTTGATAGATCAATTACTCACACATAGAAAGGAATCATAATATTCATTTATTTGCGTTTAATGGCTTCTGTTGCAAGTAAACATGCAACCGACTATCGTCCCAAGGCTTTCAATCAGTGGAATTACATTCTGTCAGAAGTACGGGATTATAGACTATATTCGAAGAATAGTAGAAGCAAAAACTAATAAAGTTGAACAACTTGAGTCAAATTGTGTTTTGGAGTCAGAACAGATGTTTGCACAAGTCAATAATAAAAGAAAATGAGGTGGAATGCTAATACTTTTCGTGAGAAAAGGTCGATAATACATACAGATTTATGTACTTTTCTCCACTTTTTTTCCATCTGTTCAAATATCAAAACTGCGTTATTTGACATTGATGGTTTCATATTGTAAGCAGAATGCGATAAATTTTGTCACTATGTCCTTCACTGAACAGAAATATTCTTGACTCAAGAATTGTTGAAGGGAGCATGTCTCAATGTCTCGAATGAAGAATAATTCTAAGAAGCAAATATTCTAAAATCGAGTAATTTATCGTATACCCGAAGATCTTGAATGCTCCAAGCAAGAGTTTTCAAGAGAATACGATGAAAGGAAACATAGAGTCAAGAGAACGCCTACCAGAATGGATGAAATAAATAAGACGATGTAAGAAAGACAAGCACGAAAAAAATTCACCTAATCATATTCATCTTACAGAACAATTGGAGCAACAAGTTCACCACATTCTACCACTGACGCAGCAAAATACTGCGAGGGTGAATTCCTGGATGATCAACTAATCCAGAGTAAGATAACAACAGTGGTACTGACAATATTTTTTGTCTCCCTGTTGGGCGTTGGTATGGGACAAACTGCGGTCTACACACTCGGTATACCATACATAGACGACAACGTTGCATCCCGAGAGAGTCCTTTGTATTTCGGTGAGTCGGCGTAAATAACCGTCCCTCTGGCATTCCCAAGCTCTTGGTGTACATTTTTTTCTTCCATCCATTTATATATATTTTTTTCTCTCCTCATCGTTTCTTTAATGGCTTTGCTAAGCATCGAGAGGAGCCCGAAAAAACGGGTTCCACCGTCTCACTTTCCCCATAGTCGCTTGATTTGTGCAACAAAATATTTTGCATTTCAGCCATTACAATAGGGGTAAGGATTCTCGGTCCTGCTCTTGGGTTTATCCTTGGATCACTATGCACGATGCTCTACGTTGATCTTGCTGCTGAACCGCAGATCACACCCACTGATCCGAGATGGGTTGGTGCTTGGTGGCTTGGTAAGTTGTGAAGAATAAAAGAGTCTTGTTTCACTCTGTAAAAGCAGTGATAAAAATTCAGAGTAAATATTCTCAACGTTTTTATCCATCTCGCAGGTTTAGTTTTGATAGCTGCGATGCTCATGCTGGTCAGCATTGCCATGTTCGCCTTTCCCAGTCGATTGCCAGCCAGTCGATCTGCACCCAAGATAGAGGATTCGAAGAAACCGAGTCTCAGAGGTGAGTGGACGTCATACATTCGAGTATAATATACGAGTTTATGAGTTTTTCCTCCAGAATTTAGAAAAATGTAAGAAAATTCAGGACTATTCGTTATTTAAGAGGCGCCAAATGTAATAAACGACATTGTATTTTAATAGTTGGATTCATAAAGACAGTCTTTTCTGAAACATTTCTGTTCTTGATTACATGAAAGATTGAGAAAAGTGACATAGCGAAATACATATCATTGTACGAATCCATTTGCCTATTTAAATAGCAAATAGCAGATGAATGAGTCAAGGGTAATAAGTCCCTTAGAATATCGAACTACTCCCATTCGATGCTCATGGAATAGCCCCTGGCCTTGTTCGCCTATTGGGTGAAAGAATCTTTATCTCTTCCTCAAGTTCAAATCAATGAATTATTCAGAGATACTAGATTTGGAAAAATCTAAGGAAATTCTTAACTATTCGTTATTGAAGGGGCAGCAAATGTGATAAACGACATTATATTTTAATAGTTGGATTCATAAAGACAGTCTTTTCTGAAACATTTCTGTTCTTGATTACATGAAAGATTGAGAAAAGTGACATAGCGAAATACATATCATTGTACGAATCCATTTGCCTATTTAAATAGCAAATAGCAGATGAATGAGTCAAGGGTAATAAGTCCCTTAGAATATCGAACTACTCCCATTCGATGCTCATGGAATAGCCCCTGGCCTTGGTCGCCTATTCGGTGAATGAATCTATCTCTTCCTCAAGTTCAAATCAATGAATTATTCAGAGATACTAGATTTTGAAAAATTTAAGAAAATTCATGTCTATTGGTTGTCAAAAAGGCACTAAATGTGATAACTGACATTGTATTTTAATAGTTGGATTCACAAAGATTGTCTTTCTTGAAACATTCCTGTTCTTAATTAGATGAAACATTGAAAAAAGTACATAGCAAAATACATATCGTTGTACGAATCCATCTGAGTACTTGACTAGCTAATGAGTGAGTCAATAGTAATAAATCCCTCAGAATATCAAACTATTCCCATTCGATGCTCGTGGAATAGTCCTTGGCCTTGGTCGCCTATTCGGTGAAAGCATCTTTATCTCTTCCTCAAGTTCAACTCAATGGATTGTTCAGAGATCCAGTAAAACCCGGTTAAACCCGAAAAACGTCATAAAGATAAGAAACCATCGTATAATGTTTGTCACGATAAAAAATGAAACATAAGGTAACCATTAAAATCTGGGTGCTCATCTTGAGCGATCGCCTCGAGGATCCTTTAGGTAACCACTGTAAACATGAAAATACACGGGTGTTAGAGGTGTCCTTGGTTGTGCCAATGCACGTGTTGGCCACTTTCTTAGGCTGTGTGAGTCAATAATAATGACTGACCGAGTCGCGAACGGTGGAAGCAAGTTCATGGTCGTATCATGGACCCTGAGGCCACGTGTGTTAGAAAAGCAAATGGTGGAAGGAGGGAGAGAGAGGGTGAAAGGAGTGGGAGGGGCCTATCTCGATGTCAGCTGTCTGGCATACACCTTTATTGTGCCTACAGTTTTATCTGAGTGATTCAAATGATCGATAGAATCTCCAATTACTTTCCCTTTTCGTGGCATTTTTTTTCGCCCTTCCTCTGGGTGCGAGGGGGGTGGGGGAGGTGGGTTATTTTTCCTTTCGCTTTCATTCGATACATCAGTAGCAATATTTCTTGGGCTATCTCCTTCTCCTCTTTATCCTTGTTCTCCTTACTCCGTCCTACCTTGGTCGTGGTCTATGGATCTATGCGGGGTTGCCACGACTCACGACACTGGAATTCCCATTTCTTCACCTCCCTTTCGTTCATCCACAGGGGGACATAAAAACAAATTGTATGGGCGAATGGCTGAGAGGAAGATTGGATTAATTTTAGACGCTAAAATCACTCGTAGGGACCACTGAAATCACAACGAATCTATATCTGCGCTGTTCGAAAAAAATTACAAATTCATTGGATTTTTACGGCAATAATTTTCAGGGGAATGACTTTTAAATTTCAGTGACAATTTCCTCAATTCTGTTTTTGACCAATCAGAGTGCAGTATTCGGGGTCACGTGACGCGTTTCACACTGACAATTTCCTCAATTTTGATTTTGACCAATCAGAGTGCAGTATTCGGGATCACGTGATGCGTTTCACACTGATAATTTTTCTGGCTGCCGGGAAATTATCACCTATAATACCCCAAGACCTTCAAAATTACCGGATATTTCTCGAATGTTTTGTTGCATAGCAACGAGAAGAATCAGCTTTGCAGATTAAAATCTCAAGCGCGCAGCGCGAAGGATTTTACTGCAAAACTGATCCCGATCGTTGATATGTAGGAAAACTTGAGGGAAATATCCGATGAATTTTGAAGGTCGAGAGGTATTTGGAGGAAAATTCCTTCAATTCTGATTTTGGCCGATCAGGGTGCAGTGTTCGGGGTTACGGGACACATTTCACCAAAATGTGAGGAATATCAGTCAAATTCGGAGAAAACAATTGACAGGCTACAGGGAAATTATCAGTCTGATAATTTCCCTGCAGCCGGGGAAATTTTAGCCGAAACTTTCAACAGTTTCGTCGATTATCGTTAGTAGGTTGAGAAAAATGGCGATTTCCTAAGAAGCTTGAATAGATTGGAGTACATATTCTTATTTAGGTAGACAAAAGGGAGTGTTGCAATTATGTGGAAAAGAGAAAAAACAAATTGGTCGAGTAATGTTGCGGGATTTGTTTCCGTATGTTTCCACAGAAAGTTCGTAGTACTGCATGATTGCAGCGCCATATTGCAATTATTTAGTGAAATATTATCATGCGCACAAGCAATTTAGGGAAAAAAAAGAAATGGAAAAACGTAGAGGAAAATTAAATTTTGTCGTGGTCAGCATTCATATTATTTATTTATTTTTAACGTAATTTGTTACAAGAAGCTTGGGACTGGCCATCGTCCGAGGGCCTTCAGCCTGGTATTTACATATTATATACAAAGTGTTGATTTTGGAGTGGCAGCATTCATATTCTGAGTTTTTAGTGGAATAAACTGGAGTCAGCCAGGCGGACACTTTGGCTTTGAGAACAATCGAGATATTATCCTATGAAACAGATTCGACTGTGCCGAATATGAGCCAAATTTAGATATTTTTAATAACGCGCGTGGACTGATTAAGCCATTCCCAGAAATCAACAGACACACACAGACCAATGTTTCCTAAAAAATAATGTTTTCATGTTTCTTGTTATTTCGAGTAATTTTAGCACAAAATTATGGAATCGAGAAGAACGCCGATTGTAAAAGCTTTTCTCCGGGAACGTAAATCCCACTAATTGTGCGATTTCACATTGAGCAGCATTCGTATGCAGGGATCCCCATCAATGTTAAATCTCTGTAATATTACAAGAATTTGACCTTTACATTAATGAACATTTAAAATATGTTGACTCAGTTTTTCAAGTAGTATAATATCAATAATCTGATTTTTTACGAATAATGATGTATTTAAAATTTGTTAATCTGAAACTGTAAATTTACTACTAAGTGAATAATTCAAATTTTTTGAAAGGAGGATATTCGATTTCAAAAGTAATCGTCAATCTTTCTACCTCAATTATTGTTCGATAATATAGTTGAAAATTTGAATATTTGAATTGGTGATACTTAAAATAGCTCTACCACCCTTATGGTAAATTCAAAGATTATTGAAAACTGCAAAAAATTGCAGAAAACTCGATTAGATTCGGAATTCTATTTTTTTTTCTCGATTTAATTATCGTTTTGGTTTTTCAAAGAAAAAATGTTAAAAAATCAGGATTTAATCCAGAGTCTTAAATTAAAATCAACATTTCCATTGTCATCAAAGATTAAAATCTGAATTTTTTTTCATTAGATATGAAAAAATCAAAAAAAATTTTGACACCTCATAAAAAATAATCCACCGTTTTGCAAACAAATTTTACTATTTCCTATCCTCCTATCGTAAAAAGGAGAAAGGAAATCGATCTCGAAATATCTCGAAAATCTCGAATAAGCGTAAGCGTAAGACTGAAACCGAAGCGCCACTACGTGAGGATATGAGAGGACGCGTGCGTAGCACGCGCGGCCGATATCGTATTTATAAAAAGGAAATGTTTGAAAAAATATAAATATTTATATAAGTTTAATTTAGATAATACTGACCGGGTATGCATTTTTTCCAATTTTTTCCGTGCAATTTAGTTGAAAAATTTAAAAAATGAAAATATCCAAAAGTACAGCGTAGCCCGGCCGAAGGGTAGAGCTACTTTAAGTACTCAAAAAATTTCAAGAGTGATGTTATCTAATTAAGGGCTACAATATTTACCGTAATAAAATATTACTAATTTGACTATCTCTTTTCGTATGCTGATTTCAGTAGTAAGATACTATCAAGACAAAGATTTTAGCATTCAAAAAATTGAATTGTATTTTGAAAAAGAAAGTATAAATAAATAGATCGACTAAACGACTTTCGAGAAATTTATGTATTTCCGGAAAAAAATTAGGATTCCACGGCCTTAAAATTGTCTGATACTAAAGCAATTTATCACTAATTTAAAAATTTGGAGAAGTATAATTTGATTTTTTTTGGATTGGTTATCAACGCAGTCTTGGCAAGGCATACATATATATCCCTTTTATCGATATCATAATTACGTTTTATAGATTTTCAATTGACTTTCAATGAAAATTAGACAATCGAAACGATTTTGGATTCCACCGCCTTTAAGGTGTGTCTGATACGTCAGGAATTTCTCACTAATTTCCAAAGTTGGCGCAGTACATGTTGATTTTTTTGTTTGATTGCTTATCGACACAGTCTTGGCAAGAAACATACATATACATCCCTTTTCTAGTTATCATATCATTACGCTTTATGGAATTTTACGTGACCTTCGAGGAAAATTAGATAATCGAAAAAATTTCGGATTCCACAGCCTTGACATTGTATCTGATACTTCAAGAATGTATCACTAATATCAAAAGTTGGAGAAGTGTAATTTGATTTTTTTTTTTTGGATTTAAACCCACGTTTCCTCGACACGAGTGGGATAATTCATTTGTGAAACTGGTATATGTAAATTATATTGAGATTAAAAGATTGTGGGTATGAAGAAATTTTTATTCCTGGTGATCTGGCAACCGCGTGAATCCCAGCGCAAATCTCACCGAGGCCTTTTGTGCTAAGGCCTAGAACCCAATGAGAATGAAGTACCTCATGTATAAGGCGGAGATTTCAGGGGTATTTTAGTACCTCGGGGTACGAAGATTTCCGCTTGAAAACTACATCTTCATTCTTCACGCTTCCACAAATCATTAGACGTGGAAAATATTCCACAGGTGAATGATGAGAAAAACTTCGGACGAGTGTTTAATTACTGGTTTCTTCAATTTTCAGATTTTCCGAAAGCGGTGAAGAGACTTTTGAAGAATGACATACTCATGTTCAGGACTGCCAGTAGTGTACTTCACATATTACCTATTGCTGGACTCTACACGTTCTTACCAAAATACTTGGAAACTCAGTTTCGACTTCCTGCTCATCATGCAAATATGATCTCAGGTATGATCTATATTCGTAATTTTAGAAAATGATGACAATAATTTTAAGATTGGGGTTTTGTCCAACAATTTTTTCTTTTCCAATCACGCAATTTTAAAAATATTGTGACAAAGTGCTAAAAATGCAAAAAAAAGTCTGAAAAAAATTCAGGCTTGAGGTTTTTACGTTTTTGAGCCATTGATAAAATTTCAAATGGGTGATAAAAACCGTTTATGAAATAATTCAATTGTTATTTTTGACATTTAACATTGAATCTAGGGAAAAATGCGCTTTCTCACAAAAAAAGTGGAGAAAAGCTAGTCAATTTGTATAGAACATTATTTACTGATGTCATATAAATGAATGTTTTGAATTTATATTGTTCATCTATCATTTTAAAAAATGACAACAATAATTTCATGATTGGAATTTTATCCAACAATTTTTTCTCTCCCAATCATGCAATTTTAAAAATATTATGACAAAGTGCTAAAAATGCAAAAAAAATTCTGAAAAAAAATCAGGCCTGAGGTTTTTACATCTTAAAACCATTGCCAAATTTCAAATGGTTGATAAAAACCATTTACAGAATAATCCAATTGTAATTTTTGGAATTTAACATGGAATCTAGGGGAAAATGCGCTTTCTCACAAAAAAGTGGAGAAAAGCCTGTGAATTTGCATAAAATATTATTTTCAAATGTAATATAAATGGATGTTTTGAATTAAAAAAATTTTGTGTGAAGTTCTTTAAATTAATCAATGGAAAATTGTGCTCAACAAATTGGAATTTGCGATTGTTATAAGAACGATTATGACATCCCTAGGGTTGTCCCAAAAATTATGGTCAAAGTTGGCAAACGAAAACTTGAGACATCATTGCATTTTAATTTTTGGAGAAAAGTAATCCCACCATAATACCTACAAAGAGGTTATAGAATATAAAATATAGGCGTTTCATGCTTTGAATAGAAAAATGAGTATTTATTTCTTTTATTTTACACAAAAAAAAATTTTTTCGAGGCAAACCTCCATTTTTTAGAAGTCCATTTTCAATTTCTATAGATACTTGACTCTGACTGCAGTTACCCTTAGAATTAGGCATTTTTATCCCTGAAATTGAGAGATATAATCTCTAAGATTCGGCATCGAAACGTCACTAGTGACAGGTGTTCTGAATAAATGCAAGATCCGATCATTTCTTTTTGATTGAAAAGCAATAGTAGAGTGAGGTGTTCAGTCCATAAACGAATAAATCATGACTGTTTACAAATTCAAACAGAAAATTCATACTAGTCTTTAGATTATATATTTTTCTATCTCTTCTAGTTTTTTTTAAAATGATTAATAATCAAAGATAGTGACGCAGTGTTGTGTTCAGCACAATATTAAATTTCTTGTAAAAAATTATTCAAATTCAAATGCGAATACTCCTGGAAGTCACAATATTTGTGTTTAATTTTTATGATCACTATCGCTAAAAATTAGTGAATTAATGAATTAGTAAAAATTAGTTCACTAGCTGAACTTCACAACCACGAATCCCTAAAAATGAGGGATACATCTCTAAAAAGTAAAACTTTTCTTTTTCTGTGTATTTTCACTTCTTCAACAAAAAAGGAGAAAAATCATTTGCTAAAATGCAAATAATGTAATGCAAAACTTCACTTATTCGAACGCCTATTTCACATTTATTTAAAGGTGTGGGAGGAATCCTCGTAATGGGTCTGGGCATTATAATCAGCGGAGTATTCATCCTGCGAGCAAAACCAAATGCACGATTTGTAGCTGCTTGGATAGCTTTCACTGCTGTTGTCTATGCTGTAGGAATGGGCATTCTTATGTTCATCGGTTGTCCGATGGACGATTTCGCTGGGCTCACAACGAACGCAGAGGGGTAAGATATAATCAGACAAATGACTAATGATGGTAGAGTTGAAAGTAAAAGTACTGACGTTTCTATTAATTTTCCTTAGGATTCCTGGTTTTGAGCCGACGTGCGAGCCCAGCTGTGACTGTGATCGTTATAAATTCAGTCCAATTTGTGGGGCTGATAGAAAAACCTACTTCTCGGCCTGTCACGCTGGCTGCTCCAATTACACTGTGACTGATGGCAAAGTTTCTTTGGTAATTTTTGAGCTCATTAGCTTGATATGTTAATTGCTGCTTCATAATTGCTGCTTCATAGATGGGGCAAAATGCCACTTTTCTAAACTTCACTATTTTCTGAACAAACAAGTCGGAAATTGTTCTTGTATTGAATATAGTTTAGTTATTTTTGATTATACATTAGCAAAATGCTTCCGAATGATTATTTTGTACATGATTTCCTTCTATCATGTATAATTATAATTAATTGTTTATTTCATTTTGTTAAATGATTGAATAAGATTTCTTTTGAACTACTTTTGTCAGATTTTCAACTTAGTTGAGTGTTATCATCATCATTATTTTTATTATCCCTTTCTGCTGTACAACCGATTGACTTTTTTACAGTTCTACCTCTCTCCTCAGCCCTTCGATAAAATGTTAACAGAAAAATTTCATTCATACATACTTGAATGAATTTGAAATATCGCACTTATAGAAACTATCAGCAAGCTCACTTTCAGAGAAATTCATTAAAAATTCGAAATTTTCAAAAATCATTATAAAAATCAAATCCACCAATATAGCTATCGTAATTATCTTTTAACTTCAACTTAGTGTCATTAAAACATTTTAAGTTATGATTGAATTCATTTGAAGCACGATGTCGAAAGATATCCTCGGGATTCTGATTTTCAAAAAACAATTTTTGCAAATTTGGAAAAAAATCAAAATAACGATTATTGCCATCGTCTTTATCTTCGAACTCGGTGTCCTACCCAAACAAATTTTTCAAGCAATCATTCAATGATTTCAGATTTTTTTAGTTATCATGAAAAAACCAGTTTTAGAAAAAATTCAAAAATTTCAAAAATTAATAAACGAATTTTATTTCAATTAATAGCAATAGATATATAGGGCTCAACAATACCTACATTTGAGGAGAAAAAAAAGATTCAATTCTATTCATTCATTGGCGGACAATTGAAGAAAAACTTCGTTCCATACGTACATACACGCACACGTGCGCACGAGGTCTAAGAATTGCCTTTTCGGACCTTTTGGATCATAATGTGTCGATATAACACGAAAAATCCGAAACTTAAATTTGAACGATTACAATGCTTTCATGCGAAAGCAAAAATATAAATGGAATAGACTTTTTGTATTATCATTTGAAGGTTTAGAATTGACAGTGAAATCTATGTACACTATCAGTTGTGTAATCCAAATCCGAGGTATTTTCAGTCAAACATGCCTACATTTGTTAAAGATTGTAGGCTTCCAGATGCCAAGGTTAATAAAATAGAGTATGGGTTGTTATCAGTGTTCTCAAGGTCTGATGGCAATGTTTTTTCGGTAATTTTTGTCGAAATCAACTTGTTTGATATACTAATTATTACTCCATACTATGACTTTATTATCGCCTAATTCTGAAGGATGGGCATAATGGAAATTTTTTAATCTTCATTACTTTTTTGTACAAAAATGTAAATGTTATAAACTCCTTAAATCCTAAAGCCATTTGAAGCTTTAGGATTGACACTGAAATCTATGAACTTTATCAGTTCTGTAATCTCAATTCCACGTATTTTTACCCAAATTTGTCAACGTTTATGAGAGATTGAAGAACTACAGATACCGCGATTAATATAATACAGTAATTTTTGTTATCAGTGTTTTGAAGGTCTTAAATGAGTTCTATTGACCTAATTCTCGGAACTTTAATAGTACATGGCCGATATTTTCACGGTTATATACACAGTTGGATCTTACGACATACAAGATTGATATGGTTTTATTTTGAAGCATGAATTATTGTTATGAATTTTTTTTTTTTTCATTTTTTTAAATATCTGATTGAGTGAGGATATTGTGATACATAATATATATTTTTATGCGTCACTTGTAGGCTTCAATGTGATTTTTCCTGAAGTCTGAAATAAATATATTGAAATTGAATTTCAATTTCAAAATAATGGGAAGTTTCTTGAGTGTCTTTCTGATAATTTTGAGTTGTTGATAATTTAATTTGCCTCGCACTTCGTAATCAAAAGTTGAAGATTTCGTAATTAATAAAATTTATTTGAAAATCAATTTGGTTAGTTGTAGAAAGTTATAAAAACTTATGGTAAACAGGGATAGCCACATCCATAAATTGTAATTACCGTTAAATTATGAAGCAGTCAATTAGTTAATATCACTCTTAAATTTTAATTATTGAAGTAATCATCAATTTAAGGCCCAGGTGTACTATCTTTCGAATGTTATCTGCATTTTTTTTATCTTTCGTAATCCAAAATTGTCAATTGAGTGGTACATCATGTAGAAATTCCCAAAAATTATGATAGAATGATAACAAAAATAGAAAAAATTCTGAGCTTTTTCAAAGAGTGTTTTTAATTGAGATTCAGAATGAGTTGAAAAAAGTGTAAATTACAAATATCTGATTCGCTGTGGCAAATTATCTATTAGCTGTCATTTTCCATGGTGAATAACAAAACACTAACTCCTCATGGGAAGTGACAGCTAGGTATCTCAATTTTCAAAACACTGGTATGTAGCCATCTGCTATTTTTATGTGATAAAAGTGTTATTAAAAAATTCTCCAAATTATTTCAACTTTTTTCAAAGAGGCTTTTCCGTAATAAAACTCTTTGCAGTATGGGAAAAGATTGACGAAATCAGTCTTCCCCCTGCATGATATTGGGTGACAGGCCGCCATTTGTCAACGTAAATCAGATACATTTTTCAATTTCTTGTTATTCAACTTATTATGAATATAAATTGGAATGGTCTTTGAAAAAATTAAGAATTTTTTCTACTTTTTTTTTTATTATTCATTCATAATTTTTCAAAACAGCTGCATGATGCAGGACTTAATTGACAATTTCAGATGACGAAAGATGAAAAAAACATCGAGATAACATTCGAAAGATAGTACACCCGGGCCTTAAATAGTCAAATTTCGAATTATTCATTCATCAGTAATTGAGTTAGAAAGATTGACGATTATTTGGATAATCGTTAATTCCTTATAAGAAATTTAGTATTATTTACTAATAGAAAAAGTACAGTTCCATATTTTCAAATATTGAATTCATTATCAATTAGAAATTTCGATAAGTATATGGAAATTCTTTTAACATTGAAGAATCGGAAAATCGATGGCCATCCCTGCTGGTAAATGATCAAAATTTGAATCAATTGCAAACATTATTTAAAATCATAAAAATGATTAGAAATTTTCTGAATGGATGATCTCAATCAAATTGATTAATTTTTCTATTTCAGTTTTCGAATTGTCAATGTATTGGCCAGAACGAAACATTTCCAGAGTTACTGAGTACAGCGAAGATAGGTTACTGCGAACTAGAATGCAATAACATCTGGGTTTACATGATTCTCTTCTCAGTATTTGTTTTCATCCATTCGACGAGTGAAGTAGGTTCAATGTTACTGATACTCAGATGTGTGGATCCCAGGGACAAGGCCATGGCCTTGGGGCTCATACAATTTGCCATTGGATTATTCGGTAAGTAAACCAACTTTTAGTGTTGGAGGTATAATCAGATAATGGATGCATAATAAAATGGTAATCTCGTGTTGTTTTTGAAATAGGAAATGTACCTTGCCCGATAGTTTATGGTGCTGTAGTGGATTCAGCCTGTTTGGTTTGGGAGTATGCCTGTGGGGAACGGGGAGCCTGTTGGCTTTACGACTCAAACATATTCAGGATGTTCTTCCATGGTAAGATCTGGAAAATCACCGCTATAATCATTCGCATTTACTTTTGTTTGCGTATTTCTTTCGGGTACTAGGAATTTCAGATGAAAATGTTGAGAAACTTTTCTTGCAGTTTCGATAATTTCCCTTGAAATGACTTATTATCAATAATTGGATTTTATATTTTACCTTTGGGATCTTTTATGGAAATGATTGCATAATAAATTGGTTTCATTATTCTATAGGGATGGGAGAAATTAAGAGAAAGAGGGAAAAATGGGCTGATTCGAACTTTTTTAAGACGTTGATAACTCAGGAGCAAATTATAGTAATTAAATAATCACAATTATCCATCATTATGCGGTAATTTATCAATCATTATGAATCATTAATTCATAATGATTGAGAAATTATAGAATTTAAGGGGAGACTACTATGAATTTTAAAATTTACGGGCTATTGGAGGGAATTTATCATGCATTGAAAATCAATTATATGTATCTAAAAATGAATAATTAGTTTCCCCCTCAGACGTTTGAAATGTTAGAATTAATCCAGGATTTTCAATTTTTGAGCTACACAGGTTTTTTTCAAAAATTTTTAAAAAAAGTGTACAATAGTAATTACGTGTTTGTTCTTTGCAATTCAACTCCTACGCAGCTAATTTCTTTTTTTTTTAATGCCAAAAATCGCACCATTCATGTAAAATAGTCGGAAAAGTGATCCTCGAAATATTTAAAATATCTGCTGGATTCTCTTATGGCACACATTTTTTCAAAAAGTTTGAAAACAAAACCTCTAATTCAAAAATTGGAGACCCTGGACTATTTTAAACACTTTAAGCGTGTACGGGGGAACGAACAATGAACAATCTATTTTTTTGCACTAATTGAAAATATATTTAGTTAAATGAAATTTTCCAGGTCAACGATTTTTAGACAGTCTCAAAGTATTTCCGATACTTCAATAGCAGACGAACATACGAGCATTGAAAATTCATACTAATAAGCTTGCATTCCACCAATATGTTCATTTTAATGGACTTCCTTCAATTCATGTTGGAATAAGTTAAATTTTTATTTTTAGGTACAACCGGTGGTATCCTCCTCTTAGCATTCATAGTTGACGTAGTTGTGTGGTACAAAGCAGGAAGTATAAATTTTGTCGACGACCAAACGGGTGATGATGCCTCCGCAGAAGAAATGACAACCCTAAAGTCACAAGACGCCCAAGCAGTCGTGAATGACTACAGACGAAATTCATTTTGAATGACGTAAAAACAGACAAAAAGAAAATATATAATTATTTTTCCATGAAAACTTATGGGCGAAAGTGCAGGAGCTCGATTCGTGTTTCGGTTAAATCGCCGACTCAAGAAAGCATTCAGTCAACCGGATCGAGTGACAATGGGGTAATCTGAAGAGAAAATTCTCATTTGGGAGAATAAATGGAATACCACATCGACTATTCAACTGCGTTATTACAGTGAATTTTTAGGGAGTAATCTTAGGAGTAAGAGTTGCCATAGTGAGTGTGTAGTTGGGTAATTATGTGGAAACACAAGCGGATTTTTATTTCATCGAACGAAGGAAAGGTAGTGGGATTTAATGTTGCTTTGAAATTCACCTATTAGGTATTTTTTTTGTTACTGAAGGAAAACAAAAATGAGGAATTAAGGATGTTTATCCTAATCCCCAATCTAGCAAGAATTATTTTAAAGACTAGGGGACTCTGCCCCGTGCTCGCTCCGCTCACCAACGCCCGTATGATCCACATATGACCTCCATAATCCTTAAACTGACCCTTGTGACCCTTAATCCGACCCTCGTGACCCTTAATCTGATCCTCGTGACCATTATGACCTTTAATCTGACTCTCGTGACTCTTATAACTCTTAATCTGACTCCTGTGACCGTTAATCCGACCCTCGTGACCCTTATTCTGACCCTTGCGGCTCTTATTCTGACCTTTGTGACCCTTATGACCCTTAATCTGACCCTTGTGCCGTTTATGACTCTTAATCTGACTCCTGTAACCCTTAATCCGACTCTCGTGATCCTTATTCTGACCCTTATGACAATGATTTTGACCCTCGTGACCCTTAATTGTATAGTCTTAATATCGAGTACCAAATTTTTATCACCAGAAGTCGATTTGGATCTTTATAATATAGAAGGAAATTGATTTTCAGATCTACTGGCAAACTAACTTCAAAAAGTCGGCATTGCAAGTATTCGTTATACGAATATAAAATTTCAGTAATTCCATTTTATTTCAAAATATTTCAGTAATGAAAAAGTAAAGCCTATGAATCTAAAAAAGCTGACCAAATTTTCCTGACGATTCACTCGATTTGTGGAGAATGGATAAACATCCTCAATTCCAATGTCCATGGGAAATAAAAATAGGTGATAGAATAATTTTTTTTTTGTGCCTAAATGCAACGGTGCTACCCACAGAGCGAGATAAATCGGTGTGCCGTGACTCGTTGATTTACATTCGTCAATAGAGTGAAATTTAATCAATCCATGTAGAATCACGTAGTTGAACAGATTAACTTGCCGCTTGTTGAGTTTGAAGTTCGAGATTCCTCAGGGGCAAACAGCTCAAAAGATATTGAATAATTTCACACAAATATTTTTTTCCTCATTCACGGTATCGCCGTCCATTTCACTGAACACAGAGTGGTTTCACCCTACGGGTTTATTGAAGAGGAAAATTATATATTACAAAGATGATGGGAAGTGCACGGTAGTTTAAGATTAATCGTGATTTGATGAATGACGTGAGTGAAAGATTGATTGGGAGAGAGTGAGAGAGAGTTAGGAGAACGAGCAAGATACATTCAACATATTTTTAGACGATTTGACGAAAAAAAGATAATGAAAATGAAGTAATAGTTATTACAAAAGATAAATAGATCAGAGGAAAGTGGAATACAAACAAATGTCTAAGAGTATTTTAATATGATACTGTTTACATGCGACACAATCGTGTCCAGTGTTTTAAGGAAGTTTGAAAAATTCAAGAATGAAATCGTAACTCAAGTTTATTTTAGTGATGAAAAATGAAAAAATACATTTTGGGCATTAGAATCGATAAATCAAAGGTACTAGAAATAGTATTCTTTCCTGCATGATATGGAAATTGCTAGATGAGATGGATAAAATTTCGAAACAATCATTTTCACTAAAAATTGTATTTTTCTAATTAAATACTCATCCAATTCCGTTAATCTCCAGAATGAGATACACCGAAATTTTTTATTTGCATTAAAATGCGCAAATCATAACTCGAAATTTTATTCTGAATATATTTACTCGTGACTTATGATAACAAATCATCAATTTTTATGCAAAAGTAAAAACAACATTTTAACATTAATGAAGAACACATCACATCGGTCTAATATCGCCATCTCCTTCCTTAAGTTGTTGTTGCTGTTGTTGTTGTTTGTCTGAGGCGAATCGACGATTATTTTTGTCAACAAAATAATTCATCCAATTGTGATCATTAGAGTGGTGTAAGTTGTATAGCTGGGCTGCTCATAAATAGTAATCGTAGAAAGATATATTGAATGCATATATATTATATAACATATTATTTCCGCACTTGTAAATAGAGAAGTACAATAACTTTTACCAAACTGAATGAAAAAATAACTAAATCTCCCACGTGGTGTAGGAGACTGCGGAACCTATATATTTTACCCAGCAAAACCTTCCGGTGTACATTTTACTCTAACAAGTTTTTTTCTTTCAAATTAGTTGGCAGGGTTAGATGAAATTTCACACACCTCTTGGGATTTAATTGGAAGGGGAACTTGCATGTAGCTCAATTTCTCTTCTCTTTTTTTATTTATGTATTCTGTCTGGCAAAAAATACTGCAGAATATTGTCTAGATTATTTCAGCAGTAAAGTAGAATGGCTCCTTAAATTTTTAAACTACAGACATCCTTTAAAAATTTAAGCTAGACTTAAAAATTTCCATCTGAATTTTCCGGGCCAAATGCGGGAAATTTTTATTGCGTCTAATTCTCATTGAAATTTCAGGAAATCTTGTGATTGGAAAATCAAATATTCCATTGATTTTTTGTTTGAATCATCTGAAAATCAATAAAATACTTGATTTTTCAGTCCAATTATTCCGTCAAAAATCAGGAAAATCGGGGAAATTCTGAGAAAAATGGGACAATCATGTCATTTTGTTTCTGAATATTCATGTTCCATTGAAAATTCAATCGTTGTGAAATTTCTAGCTCACGCCCACTGAAAATTCATGAATTACCTTGAATTCTACCTAAAACTTGGAATTTCATTACGATTTTTCCCTTAAATCAGATTCAATGTCATTCTCACGAAAATTACTATCATATTTTCCATGAAATTTCGAAAAAATTTGAACAGTGTAGGAGGAAATTCTTCCAAAAAAAAGAATTAGATCGAATTATCACTCTTCCATATTTTTCACTATAAATTCACAATTATTTGAAGATCAGTGGAGTTGCAGTTTCCAGAGTCACATGAAATATGCAAAGTTTGGAAAATTAATCAATGATTCCTAAAAAATTTTCTACTAAATAATATTCAATTCAGGCCATGATCTCGCAATAGAAAAATTGAAAAAAATCTGGCAAGTTCCCTGTTACAAAAATTTTTTACACAAGTCCTTGAATTGAAAAACAATTTTTTACTGTTTTAACAGCACACTGGAAATTTAACAATCATTAAGACTGTCCAACTCTGTTCAATTATTCAGACACTGCCACAGCCCTGATCTCGATGATAAATTTCGAAGGAAAAATTCAGACTTAAGAGAAATAAATATTGTCGGGATTAAAAACAAATCAATGTAACAGATTTACAGATTTTCATGCATTTTTGGTGCATTTATTCAATCGTTATCGTTACTCTTAATCGTCGAATTTAAGGTTCCACAGTTCCGATAAATAAAAAGTACATTATTCAATTTCCAATTACTAGATAGATCGAAGAGTTGAGAAATTAAACAAATTCATCAAATTACAAATGAAATAAATCCGACGAATCACAGATAATACCACGATGATACTATATTATATATTTTAGTAAACCAATTTATCGATAAAATGGATTTTAATGAAGATAATTGAAAAAAATTGTAAACTTAAGATTAAACGATTCAAGGAGAAATGACGAATTCAGTCGCACGAATTTTATCGTCGATTTCACGTAATTTACCGGAATTATAGTATGTAAGTGAACGATAATTGCTAGTCCCTGAATAATATATATTGCGCATACAAAACGAATGAATGTTAATTATTAATAAACTATTGAATGAACGAAGTAAATATATGAGGATCATTGTCGATGAAATATTAATTATATCTTCGTAACAAAAGATGATAAAAAACGATTTATTACTAATATTACTTCGATTAACCGTTGATATTATCAAAAAATTGAGGAACATTACGATTTGTATTTTAGGAAAAAAAAAGCTCCTAAAACCATTTTAAAACATTTTAAAACTATTTTTCATAAGATGCATTATTACTGTAAAAATTGAAAATGAATTGTCTGCATTTTTTAATCAAATCTTTGTGAGAATTATTTGTAAGATATATTTTTTTCCCTCAATTTTATTTTGTTGAATATCAAGGCTGTAAATACGATGACATATGTGAATCTTTCCATAATGTTTTTGTCCCGAATATTCGAATAATTTCAGGTTCAATGATTTATGCAATAGAATTCGTTAATTTTTTCTGGCGATTCGTCGCATCACTAATGTACCTTCAAAATGCAAACCACATAAATACATACAGAACACGTTCTCAATATTTTTTAATTAGCCCAAGGATTGTCAAATGTTTCGACTAGAGGATTATCTGTAATGAAAAGTATATAAAAAAATGTAATTACAACATTCGATACGAGCGTTTGCTAATCCGAGGGTTAAGACTGATTCAGGAGAATATATAATGCAATGAATGAACCTACATATTTTGTAATTATATTGTCATTATTGTTTGTAATTATTATAAATAATGAAAATTTGTTTATAATAGATTAAAAACGGCAAGTGCCATAATTATTTTACACTTTTTGACAATTTTTTTTTCTCAAGCATTTGTTACTCAATTGTAAAAAATACACATCCTCTTACCTTCGTTAGACTTAAAAAAATAACAAAGAAAAATTGTAATTTTAAACTTTCGACTCTCAATGGTATGAACTAATTATTCATAAACTATTTTCTGAAGCAAATTTATATGTTTCTATTCAATTTTCAACTTCCCGACCTCAAGGGAGGAGATTACATGACCCCGAAAATTAAATATGGAAATTTCATTATTTTTCCACGTTTTGTGACCGTTCGAACCACTTCTGACTTTTTTCAGAGATCGGGTTGTATGTGTAGTGAGTAGAGATGTGATGACAAAAATGACCGGCATGACCGGTAATCAGCGCGCCGAGAATCTGACCATATGGCCCGAAAAAAAATGACGATTGGTCATAAGCATAAAATGACTGAATAAATTTTGACCGTCAATTTCCATCTATATAGATGACCCTCAATTTTCCAGTACTAGTCCAGCGATTCAACACTGTTGAAAATTTTTAGCTGAAATTTTAGTGTACTTTTGAAGTGTATACGTTTATGTTTTTACTATCGCGGGACATTTAGGAAAAAAGTCCTTATGGTTCCTTATCAGCAATGGCGCCATCTAAAATTCTAGATTTTTCTAGAAAATTCTCCAGTTTAAAAAAAAAATGAATTACAGTTTTGAGGGATTCGTTTTAAAATTCGCAAGGGTGTTTGTATGTGATGATTTCGTTGTGAATGAAATATGTTGAACGTTTGTTTAGGGATTTTGGGTGCACATAACAATTTAATCGTGTTGTGATTATAAAAAAACGTCTTATCATGACGCGACGGTGCGTAATTCCGAATTTCTAATATACCTATATATAATTTTAATATATAAAATGAAAAACTGATGTTCAGTGAAGGAAAGAGAAGACTACAGACGTATCCACCTCAAATTACGGCTGTGTCAAAGATACAATCACCCGCAGAGTTTTTCGGAAATTTTTATCACATTCAAGTTCTATTGAAATTTCAAGGAATTTCGTCATTGAAAATTCTGAATTTCGGAGAACAATCAATGAGAACTGTAAATTTTAGTTCAATTATTCCCTGAAAATTAATAGAAAACCGGAAAATTCCGATAAACATATTCTTGACTTTTCAATTATTTGAAAATTCAGGGTAATTTGGCACTAAATATTTATGTTTTTATTGGATTTTCAGTAAAATCTGAAATTTCATTTTTGCTTCTGAATGGAAACTTTGTTCTTGACCGAATTTTCTATTTTCTAATTTTGATTGCAAATAGGCTCGTACCCCTGCTTGTTTTTTTTATTAGAAGGGAGAAACCGACCAATTTAACGACAAAATCGNTTTATATACTACGGTTGAAATAATAAAAATAAAAAATAGACGATGCACTTCTTCCCTTCGGAAGCTTATAACCAATGTAATTGGTAGCAGAAAAATGAAGACTTTTGACATAACAGTGTGGTGTCACAAGTCTTCTGTCGAATAGGGTCGGTCGCTTGCTTGTTTTATTCGTGATTGTTTAATTAATTCGTTGTTTACTGACCAATGTTGATAAGTAAATTTTAAATTTAATGCGATTTCATTCTCAATCAGATCAGTTGAGTTGTAATGCTGTGTTCAAATATGTGTTTGATTTGATATTTTCCAGGAAAATTTTATATGGGTTTTTTTTCCGGGACACATGAGAAAAATTTGCCGGAGCTTTTGCGGCTATTTATTAACATCAAATAAAGAAAATAATTAATGGCGTTTGTATTGCGTTGTTTCCTGATTTTTCTTTTTAATTCCGGCTTTTTCATTTGATTGTTCACATTAATTGAGGGGGAGGAGTCTTGATCACGTGACGTAATGTTTTGGAGGGTTTAGCGTTTGTCACCGGCCTGTGACAGAGGGGAGGAAAGTGGCCCGAAATGTAAAAAAAAGGGTGACGTAATTGTTGAATGCTCCCTTGATCGCTTTTTCGCCAGCGTGAAGATTTCTCCCAGTCGTTCCTACCACTCTCGACTCCCCAATGTTAACCCTCCTGAACTGGCGTTCGGTGCTCACCCGAGTCCACTGACTCGGTGAGCAACGCGCCGTCCGCGTTACGGTTAGCGCGGTGTTGCCACATTGGAGCCCTATACGAGGATAAAAATCTACACTGCACACATTTTTCTCGAATTAAACACCATTTATGCTCTAAAAAAATGAATTCGCGTTTCTTATGAGTCGCCAAATACGGCACGTGATAGAGATATTGACGTTCCTAGTATGTCTGAACTGAAACGAACGACGTGGCAACAGCGCGGCTAAAAACCGACTACACGAGTCCACTGGCTCCGGGCGGCGAGGCGCCGCTTTTCTGTACCAGTCTCACTAAATGATTATTTTTCATGGTATTCATGGGGTTTTCAAGGGATAGGAATCTTACCAGTCCATTCTAGAGGGTTTGAACTAGGCATTGTAATTTTCACAAATTTTTTCATACATAATTTTGCATGCAACAAGAAAACATCGAGAAAAGGCGGCGCTTTGCTCATTGAGCCAGTTCAGGAGGGTTAATACATCGATGTTTTCTTAGATGCGCTACTATTCCGCCTTTCCAGGAGATCGTAAATGTAAAATACTCTTTTTTTTTAAGGCCTTTCGAGTCCCCTTTTTGGGTCTCATTTCGGCACTCTATTCAACCCTATGCATGCGGCTGTGGATTCTGCACTGTACCGCATTCGCCCTCCTATATAACATAGGAGTAGCATGGGAAACCACAGAAAACCCATGCCGATACAGGCGGTTACTCTACACTGAGAAAAAAAATTTCTAAGAAATAGAAATTCTATGATTCATCCAAATCGTTAATCAATTGAATAGTCGCAAAAGAAAATGCTATTGTACACAAATAGACACAAATATCGATTTAATTTTAATGTTTTCGATTGAAAAAGAATGAGATCAGTTATCTAAACTTTTTTTTGTTACTATCTACTTTTCAGTACATACAAATCAATGTCTGTATTATCAGATATCTTCTTCGAATAAAGCATATAATTATCCAATTTATCAGCGTCACGATATCCCGCAAAAGAATATCTGTTCGATTGAAAGCAGAATTCATAGATGCAATAAAATATTCATTTGGTCTATGAGGAACATATTGTTGGATATTCATTGATGCGAGACTTTCGCGGTGAGCAGTTTCTTGTTTACGACAAACGCAATTCTTCATCATTTGAACTGATTATTTTTCCATTGCAATTGTGAAAAAAAATTATTTGCGCCAAATCCGAAGCGTTTGAACTAAACCAAAATTGAATTGTATGAAATCGATTTTGTCGCAAAAACGTGTATTTTCTAAATTTGATAGAATAAACAAAATATACTATACTATAACAAAATCGATTTCATACAATCCAATTTTGGTTTAGTTCAAATGGATATTTGTGTCTTACAATAGCATTTTCTTTTGGGGCTATTTAATCGATGAACGATTTGGATCAATCATAGAATTTCTATTTCTTAGAATTTTTTTTTCTCAGTGTATTAGCAACCTCCCGCTCGCCGGAGCCTTCCGTTAAAGAATTCGGTTCCACGGGGAGTCTCACAACCTTTCGCACACTAGACTTGGGTCTAGCCCTCTCCGCCACCGACGTCAGTTGTAAAATACTCTGACAGTTAATTTTTTTTTAACTGGACGCATGGCGGGTGTAGGGAAATATAGTTGCCGAATCGGTTTCCTCTACAGCCCCAGGCGTGCGACTATAATAAGCGCCTACTATAATTATTTCCGTATGGTTTTTCTTCTGTCAATTTCTGTTTTGATTACTTCGTTCTGCCACGCTGTATTTAACATTGGCAAGATTGTGATATTATGGTATGTGTCCATTTATTTTAATTCCTTCAGTCAATTACTTCTAAAAATTATGGAGAAGCGTTTGGGGGTCACAGGAGGTCAACGTTTCCAGGAAATTTTCAAACAAATTTCCTGTTCAAAGTTATTGATATTTTTCGAACCCAAAGCACATTGATCTTCATAATCGTCTCTTGGAGATTAATGTGCTTCCTCTTGTAAAAATATCAATAACTTGCGGCAGAAAATTTGTTCAAAAATTTGGAAAATTAGCGCCATTTTGTTAGTCCTTAGCGGAAGGATTAATTTCACATAACAACCTAGGCAATTTGATTTGTCGTCCTTTATGTTTGAAAAGTTTATTCCCTAGGCATCATCAAACTTGGCCACGTTTTCGTTAATATTCCTGCACATTTTATTCTGGTACACGACGTTTCGGAAAATTCAATATTAATATTTACCATTTTTAGGTGTATCACACCTACGGATAACTGTCCTCCCTAGAAGCATTTGTTACTTGATTGGAAAAAATACACATCTTCTCACCTTCTTTAGCGTTGAAAAGGAAAGCAATCATCATTCCAAACTGTTGACTCTCAATGACATAAACTCAACATTAATGAACCATTTCCTGGAGAAAATTCATAAATTTTTATTCAATTATCTTTCAATTATATTCAATAATTTTGAGTCTCTATATTGATGCGTCGCTCATGTATGCCTGGACCTGAATCTTCCACTTCTTTGTGATAGACGGCGTTTGTCTGGGCCACGTAACTGGTGGATCGGAGCAGGTGGATATAAGTTGCTTCTTGTCATCACATGAGCCAGATCATTTACGTTTTTGTCGACATTGCTAAATATTCCGTGCTCAGACGACAGGTTCTGCAAAATTCATCATTTATATCGTATGTAGTATGTTTAACTGAGTAGAATTTCACAAACTGGTGAAGTACCAGAAGGTGGAACAAGAGGGATATCTTTAAATATCAAGATCTTCCTAAAAAACAAAAATAATTATTTTTGGAAAAACGCTGTGCGAAGGAAAATTTTTCCTTGGTTTTTCCTGGAAATGCGGAAGACAATGTTCTGCAAAAATACAACTTCCTTAAAAAACTTGAAATAAGTACTGTGACGTATTGAGATCGATCAATACGTCGATTTATTTAATAATTATAATTATTATGCCCAAAGTGGTGGACGATGGGAACGGAAAACGAGGCCTTCTTCCAAAGATTGCTCAGCAGTCCCACGGTGTCCCATGGACACCAGCGTAAGCAGTTCCACGGTTTCTACAGGTCCAGTTCAGGGNATTTAATAATTATAATTATTATGCCCAAAGTGGTGGACGATGGGAACGGGAAACGAGGTTTCTCATTCCCTTCATCCAAAGATTGCTCAGCAGTCCCACGGTGTCCCATGGACACCAGCGTAAGCAGTTCCACGGTTTCTACAGGTCCAGTTCAGGGTGCTGAACTGTTTGACTGTGTAGGTTTCTATACAAACGAATGCACGAAACCGTATTAGGGAAGAAAACCGTGGGATTGCTTAGGTAAGTATTTTGGGACTTTGACGAGTTTGGACAACTTGGGAAGCACCAGAGTACGTCAGAGTACGGCAGGAGTTGAAGATGGACGGACGTCCTCTCCTAGCCAAAAATCTAGAGTACGATCAGGAGCGAAACAGAGCGGATCTCTGAGCTCAGGCCTTCAGCCAACCAATAACAAAGTCGAGTCAAGGTCCCAAAGTCGAGTCAAGAACCGCGTTATACCGACCCATTAAACACTACCGTGTATAAATTAAAGTTAATATATAATTATTTTACCAACATCAGTACGGTCGGTTTAATATCGTTAACCCTCCCTCTATCCTTCACTTATCCCTCCGATTGAGCGAACCACCCGTGAGCTCACCGAGACTAGCCGAGGTCGGAGTGAAACATGAGATTATTAAAGGACAAATAAACTCATAACGTCACTGTACATAAACCAATGAAAATAAACCAAGTCATCAGGGTTCAATAAAAAATCAGTAAAGATAGAACCAACGTCTTGGACGCGGAGTCTTTGCAATCAATGCCTAATATCAACCTAATTTTCCATGTTCTGACCCGCGCCAAGGACGTTGGTTCTACCTTTACTGATTTTGTATTGAGCCCTGACTTGGCTTATTTTCATTGCTTTCTGTATGTTTGAAAGTTTTTTATGGAGGTTGTACTTTAGAAAATTGTTTTCTTCATGTTCAGAAAAAACCAAAGAGAACTTTTTCTTGGCAAAAAGTGTTTTTTACAATAATAATTATTTTTGTTTTTTAGGAATATTGAATATTTCTGGAACGAATCATGTGAATGAGAAAAATTGCTGGCATTTTCAAGTATATCTATCTGTCCTATTCTGTTGTCTCCTCAATTGATTCGTATTAATAATGATGAAAATTACCTCAACATCGTTCTCTGCATTTACGGGACTCCCACGTTTTTTCACTCCACGTTCTCCGTTTTCCTCCTCCTCTGGCTCTTCTTCTTCATCTTCCTCAGATTTTCCATTGTTTCCATCATTTTCTATTTCACGCGCTTCTTTTTCGTGAACCGGGCTCGAATTTTTCTTGAGTTCATCCAGAGGATTTTCTCCTTGTTCGAACTCTTCCGGTTCAGTGTTCTCGTCCGCTGATGGCTCTAATGTGCCAATTTCGGATAATCTATTTTCTGATGATGCTGCCACCGAATGCTGTATCGCTTCTAATATTTCATCTCTGATTTCTGGGAAAATACCAAATCGATTTCATTTGTTTCTCAAGAATTCGAAGCTACATCGATGAAAAGTTTGTTGTCGAACTTCAAGTACAGTAGAGGCTTCGTATAAGATACCTCTCTATAAGATACCTCGCGCTCTGAGCGCTCGGAGCCTACCCCCACCCTCGGCAATTTTATTGCGTTCCGAATGTTTATGTTCCGCGGGCTTCTTATAAGATACCTATGGCCCCGGTCATTTTTCAACGGGAAAAGAGTAGTTATAAGGGTCAAACGAGAGGGACGAACGAAGTGATCATGAGGGTCTAATGACCTTGAGGGGGGAGGGGGGGGTCACACCACTTTTTTCAAGTAATGGCATTATGCATCGATTTTTTTTTTCACTTTTCCCATCGAAAAATCGTAATTTTTCGTCTGTGATTATTCTCGAGTCCACCAACAATCCCCCAACATCAGCTGTCATTCTATCACGCGGGATTGTGTTTAGTGACAAAAGAGAATGCGGGCGATAGAAAATCAAAACATTAAACGCATATAAATTGATTAGTTATCGATATTCATTCAGTAAAAATGAAAATTTCATGGAATTCGGGCGCAACGAGCGAGGTATTTTATTTGAAATCCGCTGATCCCTATATTTATCCTTTCTACGGGTGCGCGTACCCGAGTGGAAATTGCTTCAGGCCCACCTGAAGCACGATCAGAACTTGATCAGGTTTTTGTAAGGTTCGACTGATCCGGTGATTCCTGATGAGAACCTGACCAATTTTTGATCCAGCAGATCGGATCTGAAAAACTACAGACGGCTTCAGATCAAGTTCTGATCAGGTAGATATGATCAGATGATGCCTGATGAGAACCTGACCAAGTCCTGATCCAGCAGATCGGATCCGAAAAACTACAGGCGGATTCAGATCAAGTTCTGATCAGATGGACATGATCAGATGATGCCTGATGAGAACCTGACCAAGTTTTGATCCAGTAGATCGGATCCGAAAAACTGGAGGATGATGCAAATCAAGTTCTGATCAGGTAGGCACGATCTCACCCTGAGATCGGCTGCCTGACCCCAATTTGATCAAATTCGGATTTGATGTCGTTGATCGGCATTTGAACGGAGTCAATTGAAGAGAAAATGATCAGATTCTGATCCGGTCCACATTTATTTATTAGTGTTATTGTTATTATCATTATTATTATTCATTAATGAAATACATAAAAATTTAATTGAACATATTTTATCTCTGAGAATACACACGCACATCCGCGAGATCAGGAATAATCGTAAATTCAACGAATACTCCGATACAAATCATATAGGCAATGTACAGTTTACTCAATAGTAATACAGTGATAGCGTAGTGGTTAGGGCATAGGATTAGTAATCATAGGGTCCCCGGTTCGATCCCCAGAATCGGTAAAAAAATAATAAGCTTTTTCAGAGGTAATAACAGTGGAGATTCATTAAGAGAGGCGGCCTACGGTGAAAGAATTGAATTATCTTTTGTTTTGGATTAATTATCATTGATAATTGTTATTGATACTGACAGACAGGTCATCCGGTTTTCATACAGTTGACTTGATCAAGTTCGGATCCACTCGTCCTGATCAAATCCGGATTGGTCAGAGGCGTAACATGTCTGATCAAGACCGGATCCGTCAACTTGATCAATACCTGAACAGTGGTCAGGTCTAACCTGATCCAAACTTGATCAAGGCCTGACTGGAATTTCCACTCGGGTAGTGGGGGCATAGGGGTTCCCGAAATTTCACTCTTACTGTCCCTAAAGTATCTTATACGAAGCCTCTACTGTATTTTTTTCATATCTTCAATAATAACTATTGATGCATATGAGGAATTTCAGTCAATGACGACTCCCCACTTTCCTCACATGTAATCCATTGCAAACGTTTGTTGTTAGATGAGTTGAAGAGCTGGAAAATAATGATCGGTATCGAGTTTGCCCCCTGAATCAACAAGAGATAAGGCTTTTCATCTTTACCTTTAGAATCACCCAAGTGCCTGAATCCGATTGACAGTTTTTTTTTTAAATTTTCGTTGGACTCCAAAGCGTAAAGGCGTTCATCCCTTTTACTATTTGTTGAACAGATCATAAACAAAATTTAAAAGAAAATGGAAAATTGATAAATCAATCCGAACGCAATGAACGAAAACTATTTAAAAAAAATTTTTATAAGTCTAACGAACATTTTGAAAAAAACTGTCAATCGGATGAAAAATGAGGCACTGGTACGATTTTACGAGTAAAAATGGGATATATTGTCTTTCGTTAGGGTACGGGCCAAACTGATGGTGGTCATCTTTTTTCCGTCTTTATACCATATATTCCATCATCATATGTGGACGTCCCCATGAAAAGGGACCACTTTGTCCCATTTGCACCAATGTTAAATTGTTTTTTCCATCTTCTCCAACGACATCATTTTTGTGCATGTTATGAATATTATCAGAGTATACATAACACCATATCGACAAAGTCGTCCCTTTTCATACGAACGTCCACATATATCAAGAGTCCTTTGAATATTGATTTCAATTTGTTCTAGTTTTTGAAATTTTTGAGGGGATTTTTTGTAAATGTCTCAATTAGAGATGCGAGCAAATTTTATGACATGTCAGATGAGGATCATGTGACCGTCACTAACACGTCACATTACCGACCCACGAATGACGAATTAGTGTCACAAGACAAAAATGTGACCGACGTACCTTATGACTGTCATATCGCATCTAAGTGGTGACGCCACTTCAGATGTACAAATGTTCTTTTCTGAATTTGTCTGAAACTTGGCGAAACTGTAATCCCATATCGCCCCGAAATAGAAAATAGCGACTGATTCTTGACCATTCATTAGTTAATTGTCTTTGATAAAGTTAATCTTTCCATTGAATAACCCTCTCCTCTCTCTGAACAAATGAACTGATGGACAATCATGTGACGAAACATGGCAAAACATGACAAAATTTTGTGACACGGAAAAAATGATCGTCATGTCGCGTATAGGTAATTTCTCAATGACAAAACTAATGACAAAATTTCATGTGACCGTTTTATTGACAAGAGGAGACATGACTGTCAATGATGGTCATATTTTTGTGACCTGACGGTTTTTCAGTCGTGATGTCACTTCGCATCTCTAGTCTCAATAACTAGTTCAGGTCTTTGCGTGTTAATTCAATTCTCGATGAATTGAGGGAGGAAAAAGCATTAATGCACCACTAATTAGAACATTGATCATATTTACCAACTACTTACCTTGAAGTTGTTGCCGGAATAACTGCAAAATCAATGCAAGCGGGCAGATCGGTCGCTCGCCCGCAATATATGCATCGATGTGTGCAGTAACTGGTGCATCTCTTTTGATGGCAGCGGCTAGAGCAGCCGTTTCAGTGAGCTTTCCCGATAGCTTTTCGTCGTCAGCTAGAATCCTCGCAACAGCCTCGCCGACCTTGTCCGCATTGGTTTTGCCTAGCTTTCTGTATAATCGCGCTGTGATCTCTTTTGCAACTTTTGCAGCAGCAGTTGCAGCTCTTTCTGCTCCAATATCATGTGCTGTATTTTCCTGGAATTTTTCTTTGATGAAAATTGTAATTCCTCCTCATTCCAGTACTTCTAAAAACTATTACGTTTTCCTTATGATATCTCAACAGTTTGAGGTTCCGATGTGAAGGGCCCTTGTGAGCCCGTTTTACTGGTATGGGAGCAGCATTCATTTCTCTCTCAACAATGCCCTAAAATTTTTCGAATGGGAATGGCTATTGTAGTTGTTCACAGGTTCACTTTATTAATAGTACGCTTGCATGATTTCTCCAATTCTATGTTTCATGTTTATGATCTCAGAAGAATGTTTTCAATTTAAAAAGATACGAAAAATTGTAAAAGTGTTTCATATATTTATACAATGAGAAAACAAATTTTTAATATCTGAAACATATTTTTTTGAGACAAGTAATGTTTTGCCCATTGTTTAATTCTCCCAAACATCTCAACTCATGAGGCCCGAAAAAGGACTCATGCCTTAAAATCTTCTTTTACTCAAGAATGATTTTGTCACCAATGAACTCAGTCAGATCGTGTAGAAGAATCCTCATGCTTCAAATATGTATTATTTTCATAATTTTGTTGTTGTGCTGTTCCAATATTCCAATATATAATATTTTCATAATATAATGCGCAACGATAGTGATAAATCAGAATTTATTCGAGTTCCGTCAATCACAAACATTCTGAGATTGAAGCCATTAAAAATAATTTACTTCTCTTAAGTAAATATGGCCTACATATTATGAAATTTTGCTCTCAGTGTAACTGCATACCTACGCTAAACTTCAGGACCTTCAGGGGGGTACAAAACAAACAATCCCCTGCCGGTGTGAGAAATTTTATTAAAGAGGAGGATATTTTTTGCATCCATAGATGTTTTTTTTTACCTAGAAAATCGCAAGATATCCGCTAAAACATTCACATATTGGATAGGCACAACATTCATATATTAACCCCTCACGTACGGGGTCGATGCTGGGTGAATGCTTGTGTTCAAAATTGATTATTTTCAAATGTATAAAGAATAACTTGATCAGACAAACAAAATTGGAAACCGGAATACTGTCGCTTCAATTAGATACCGGTTTCATAATTGTCCATTCATTAAAAATAATCGAATTCGAGTCGTATTGAATACACACTACACTTGGTAACAAAATGGCCCCGTCCGTGAAGAGTTAAAATTTGTTACGATTTTCGAGGTGATTTTTATCGAACTTTTCTCTCCGCGTGTGATTATGATTTGCGCCTTAAAGCTATTGCTGATACCTACAAATGCGATGACGTTGATAAATATCTGAAAAGCGTTCCCAACATTTTATCATTTTGAGTTAATATCGTTTTACATTTTTCACTTCGATTTGTTCTCGAATGTGGGATTTCATATTGTTCGATTCATTGTGACATGTATTAAATGCTCTTCGTTTTTTTGTAAATAAGGTCATGACCTTAAAATTTGCTGTTTATTCATTTCTTATTGTGGCTCTTTTTGCTTCCGAATGGAAGCATTGTAATTTTATTTTGGGGCTGGTTTTTGGAGTTTTTGAGGAATTCGTGTTTTTGGGGATTTTTTTTCCGGGAAACATTTCTCCTAGAACCCTAATTCCGTCAGTATCTCGCAAAGAGCACTGAACCAATCATAGAAAATACTCAACCCTCCAGTGGTCGCGCTACACGGTGAGAAATATTCAATAAAAATTACGTATCTTTTCCGTAATTCCGGAGCGAATTGTGGTTGTAGGAAATTTTACGGAACTGTCACGTAATTTTTCCAGAGCGTTCCGTAATTTTTCACTGAATCTCCTGTGAAAAATTACGATACCGTCACTTAAATTTTCTGAGTCGATTCCGTAATCGGTGAGCGACCTGTGAGTTCCATAATTTTTATGGAACATTTCTCTCCGTGTATGGTCTGAACGCGCCCGTTTTTGTTATTTTCAGGATATCTCTAGAAATATGATGAATTACGCTCTGCCTATTTACGGGTTCCTCAAATGATATGTCCTGATGAGATCAAACACGGTAAGGTTGCCCTGCGCTGACAATTTTTTTCTCAATTAATTTTTTTGTTGAGCCCGGTTAGTGAGAATGAGCGCAGCGCTCACCGTGCGACCACTTTCGTAGTGGAAATTTGACGAGCGGTGTTGCCGACCCTTGTGGTAGTCCCAAACAGCGCGTACGAAGTGGGGGGTTCCTGGCCGGTGATATGTTTATAGTGTCGTATGGCTCTGGCAACGCTGTGTTCGAGAATGTACGGGTGGCGCAGCGCTTATATATGCCGAACAATGACGTTCGGCGAATACGCGCGACTACAGGAGGGTTAACCCATTGAGGTGAATGTGCGTTTCCATCACTCTACGCACTTTCCGTAAGAATTGCCCGTCCCCGCTCCGCCGGACAACTTACTACTCAGGCCGACATTCATCTTAGAGGGTTAATTCAGCTAACCTAAGTAGTCTACGCGCGTCTCCATTCTCTCATAATAAAAAATTAATTCGGGTCCCAGGATTTCCCAAGTAAAGAAATAATATTGACTCTAATTAATCACAATTGGAGAAATGAAATTGGAAAAATATGCATTTTGCAGATTCCTTGAGTTAAGAGTCATTACAATATTCGAAAAATCTTCCTCGCTGGAATTTGCAGTTGAGGATCGCCATGGAGGAGTAGGATTCAGAGAGGGAACACGATGATTGGTCGGACGTTTTGCAGTCACCTGGAAACAATAAAAAGTTCCCAATGAGGGATTGACTAAACTTACTGAGAAAGGTTGAAAAAATTCATACTCAATCTGTTTGATACAGATTTCCCGATTTGTTTAGATTTAGTAAAAAAAAACAATTTTAATCTTTATTTGAAGCCACAATATCCCATTTATCGAAAAAATTCGATTTTTTAACATTTTTTCAGTAATCAGCTAATATAATAACTCCAATTTTTCATATTTACTGGTAGGTAAAACCACCAGCCTGGTTTGGAGGCTCATAGACGGGACCCCCCATTCTACGTTTTTCCTTCTAAACGCAGTTTTTAAAAATTTCACTTATGAGGTGTTCATATAAATTCAACGTGTAGTGAAGCACTTATTCTTAAAGTGTCAAATCTCACCAGCACTTAGCATTATCCAGCGTTCGCGACGAGGACGCAGCCTCGAAAAATTATTTGGAGTAGCTGTATGCACCAATTCACGTATGAAAAAATCCTATGGAGAATTCGACCATTGCCTATGCGATTTTTCAGACAGGATTTCTTATAGGATAGCTGATAAGATTTTCAATAGGATTTCCTATGAAGTTTAGAGTCATATAGGTCAGAATGAGGTCAAAAGAGTCATATGAGGGTCATATATGGATTATATAGGGGTGACATGCGGGTCAAACGAAAGACTTTTTGTTTGCTTTTCGTTTACGAGTAAACGAAAAGGCACTTTTTGCCACGAGGTGAATGTAGCAGCAGTTTCAAAATAGGTATTTTCGTCACAAGGCCGAAAAAAACTTTTCTAAAGAGTGTGAAGGTTGCAGACCGAGACGAAGCCGAGGAATACAATCACACGAGTCCGAAAAGTTGTTTTCGGCCGAGTGACGAACATAATTTGTCTCCACAATGTCCGTAAACGGCGTTTGACGCACACAAAGTGACGGAAACGTCGTAAAACGACGTTTTACGGACAGTATGATGAACACGGAGTGAAATGTTCAGTAAAAATTACGGAACTCAGAGTTCGCTCACCGATTACTTAATCGACTCAGAAAATTTAAGTGACGGTATCGTAATTTTTCACAGGAGATTCAGGTAAAAATTACGGAATGCTCTGGAAAAATTCGGTGACAGTTCGGTAGAATTTCCTACAACCACGTTTCGCTCCGGAATCACGGAAAAGATACGTAATTTTTATTAAATATTTCTCGCCGTAAAAATATTTTTAAATTTTATCAAAGGATTTTCGATTAGTCAAATAATAATCGTCAATCTGCCGAACTCAATTATTGATTGATAAAATAATTTGCAATTTGAAGATTTAATTGATGATTCATTTAATAATTAAGAAATTGTTGAGTGTGAGGGAAATTGTTTCCTGTAATATTAACAATTGACTTATTCCAAATTTCTTACTGCGCCGATGTCAAATCCCGGAAAAAATAGACCAAGAGAAATTTTTAAGTTATAGGTGGGTTTCAACGCGTTTTGGATGTGTGGACTATTTATTCCTGCTCTATTTTTTCCGCCTACCGCCGATGTCTATTTCGTAGCAAGGGCGAACGTGCTAATTTATTGAAATCACTCTTTTTTGCGATAATCAGTAATGTACGAGATTGATTATGTTGACGCAACTAAGATCGTACCATCGCTTTTTGTTGAAGTACTACTGTATTCAACTGAGTGAACGACAGATGATATTAATAAGAGAAACACAATATTGATGGATGATATTTATTGGATTTCTCGATACCAAAAAAAATAGTTTATGTAACACATAAAATATTAAAAAATAAAAGCTCAATCGCGACTGTCGACTTACGATGATGAACATGTTATTCCCTAAACTTCGAAAGAGTACGCGCACGCGTACCTCCTGATTCGCGCAGAAGGGTGAGATTTTATTACTTTTATCGCGCGGTGAGGGTTCCAATCGCACATTCAAGTTGTCGTGTCTGCCAACAATACTCGTCACATTTTTGATCGACAGTTCATTTGTTCTGACACTGTATCGTGTTACTGTGCCATCGGCGATGTAAATAAACACAGGGGGAGTCAAAAATGGTGTTTTAGTATGGAAACGTGAGTCGGAGCATTTCAACGGTGTTCGTGAAGTTTGCGTGAGATTGAAGTGAAAAGAAAAAAATGGGAGGAAATAGAATAGAAAAATGGAACATAAAGACAATGCATCGAGTAGAAAGGATATTCCGATATTTTTTCACGGAGAAGAATCTACTGAAATATTTCACGGTCAAGAAAATGTGGACCGTGCAGAGAACAGCAGGGATAGGCAATAATATTAGATTATGACAATATTAAAAAGGGATTATCTCCTTATATTCTTCAAAGTTTAACTATATTTAAAAAATTTAAAATATTATAGAATTTATTAGCTAAATTTTTCGATTGATGGTGAATAAAATATTTGAAAATACTGAAATGTAATTTTTTAATTAACAAGCTAATTCTAACTTTAGATACTTGATTTTCCACCTAAATTATTGGTTAATAGAATATTTCGAAATTCAAATGTACAAATTGATGGTTACTTTAATATTAAAATTTTTTAAGATTTATGTTAAAAATGGATAACTTCACAATTTAACGGTAATGATGATTGATTGATATGCCTATCTCTGGAGAACAATTTGACCTGCAAGCTTTTGAAAATTTATTCTTTCTGTTGAATTCTACAATTTTTTGTTCAGGTGAGAGATTTTTCTTCGCTGATATACATGATGAAATCACATGCACTTACCTCAAGACCAATGGCTAGTCCCACCAGAACGAATATTGCAAAATTCGCCATTATTTCACACAGCACTTTTCCACCTTTCATATCCAGTACTGTAATTCATTCTACTTTATACAAGTCTGCTCCTTCAAACCAATTCAGAACCTGTCAATCTCAGCAATGAACCGTGCACTCTCAACAAAAGAAACTGAATTCGATAAAGAACGGAACAAAGCCCCGCAAATAATTCGTGAATTTATTTTCCTTTCATCTCAGCGACATAAAAAGGATATTAATCATTCCGCTTTTAACCCCTGAAATTCAATCTCCATTTTTCAATCCTCAGTAACATCACATGAGGGTCATTCATACCCATGCATGGACAAGTTTATTATTGGGACAAGAATTTTAAGAAATTTATCAAGATAGTATACTATAATGTCAACCCTTTTTTTGGAGACAATTTTAGGCGAGATTTCTATTTAGTACGAATAGTCATACCAAATGGTAAAATAGTAAATAGACGGGCGTCCATGGACGAATGGAAGTCCACTCCAGAAAAAACTGCGGAGTGGAACAAGCAGGGGTTCGAGCCCATCCAACAGAAGGCCTGTGACCGTTACTTCTTGGATTATTAGTCTTTTTTTTTATTTTTACCAATTCTAGCGATAGTAAGCCTTCGAATGGCTCCGTAGCCATTTCCTGTCCCTGTGACAGACATACAATGGCAACCGCGTTCCACAGGGTATCCACAGGTATCTATACAGGAAGTTGTTTCAACCTTGTGATGAAGTAGATTTATGTAAAAGGTTAAATCTCTTTGAAAGCGCTCGGTCAACTGCGTCCATCCGAAGTATCAATCTTCCACATCCCTAGGCTAATCACCAAACGCGTCCCTGCGACTTCGGTCACCTACGCGGAGATTCGCGGTCGATGTTATTTAGACTCTAATGTTGCCGAATGCACTCTACACTACTCGGGTACGTTTAACGAGTTTCCGGCAACGTCGCGTCATGGGGAATTTTATTTAAGCTATACGTCCTCAGTATAACTTTGGGGTATCGAGTGGGGGTAAACATCAAGGATGCCGACACTCCGCTGCATCGTTCAAAAAAAAAAAAATGAAAATTTTAACGATTCAAGAGTGAATGGAAATTTTACTAATCGGCATCCTTTTTATTTATGACTTAGAATTATCCAACCAACGATTTTTTTTATCCTCAAATTTTTTAAACATGATTTTATTAATAAATTGAAACTATCGCAAACTAAATACATCCAGAACCAAAATTTCATATTCGGTACGACGGGAACATGAACAGTTGATTCAAAGGGATACACATCCCTCCGTTAAGGTATAACTAATCACATCAATATAATTGCTCTATTCAATTATTTCCTTTCTATAAAGTCCAACGATATTTAGCCGTGCACTAATTGGTTTGAAAGGGGTCATAAACTATGAAATCGAATTAGAAAAGCCATAGCAATCAATAGACTGATAAGAACTCTGCATCCAATCATCACTTGTTTATTCTCTTCTTTAGATTGAAAAATAATTACATTCGAATTTCGACAATTATTATACCATCATTCAATATTATTCATGCTACTAATGCGCGTCTCAAAGCCGCTTTCGAAACTTCAAGTTCCAGAGTAATGAGGTCATCATCATCATTTGGTTTCGCCTCTGCACGTTTAATATGGCTAATGTCGTGAGTATCGACCAATGATCTTTGTGCGATTGGAACCGCCCCTTGTTGCTTCTTCTTTGGTTCATCCTTCTTGGCTTCCCCTTCCGTCAAGCTCCGCAGGGTCTTCATCATCTCCGCTACGACATTTCGCGTCGCGATTTCCTCCTCAATCGTTGGTGGCTTGGTTCCGTCCTTTGTGAGAGCCCGTCGTGTGATGTGATCTAGGGCGTAGGCTGTCTCAAACGCTGATGGTGCATTACTTCGCCTGGCTGGAGCCAGAACTGGTGTTATCACCTTCTCTATGTCCTCCATAGTGTGGTACGTGTCTAGCGTTCTTCTCCCTTGATGCTTACCCGTCCTCTCTTCAATCAGTTTCATCAATTCACTTGCCACCGTTTTTGGATCAACCGTTACAACTACGTTCACATTTTTATTTGAAATCGTGGTATCAGCCTGAAAGTAATTGCGTTATTGAATCAATAAAATTAATGAAAATATTTGAAAAATTTATTGGCCATCTGAAATATTTTGGAAAGTCCTGGGACATTGAAAGAATTCTCTTGAACTGATATGAATGAAAATTTTAATAAGTCTTTAGTTACGGGCTAATTTTTCAAATCTGATTTTTATCGAGTGTCGGATTAACAATGAAACGCTTCACGGAGAGAAATGTTCAGTAAAAATTACGGAACTCACAGTTTGCTCACCGATTACGGAATTGACTCAGAAAATTTAAGTGACGGTATCGTAATTTTTACCTGAATCTCTTGTGAAAAATTACCAAACGCTCTGGAAAAATTCCGTGATTTTAGGTAAAAATTACGTGATGGTTCCGTAAAATTTCCTACAACCACATTGCGCTCCGGAATTACGGAAAAGATACGTCATTTTTATTGAATATTTCTCCGTGCTGTTTTGACTCGAGACGGAGCCAAATTCTGTTGACAATCGAATCCGTTTTTGGTCGAAACCGCTACCATTCATGATATAATTCTCCTTTTTTTAAAAACATTTCATTGGAAAATCATTACCATGGTCAAATTTGAACCTCCCGAGTAGAAATTCAAATCAGGATAGAATAAGAGACTGACGAGTAAAAACTGACTTTAATCAGTTTTGGACCAGAAATGTAACGCATGTTTGGATCCATGCCTGGTCAAAATTCTAGGATCCGATCTTTCTGAACAGTACCGGATCCGATGCGGATTTAGTCGAGACTCGACTGATCAGATTAGATCACTGTCCCGGTGGCCTGGCGCAGTGGGTAAGTTCGTTGCCTCATATGCGAAAGGTTCCGAGTTCAAAACACAGCCGGATAGAATGGTGAGATCTAACCATTTAAAGTCGTGATCATCATTGCAGTATACCCCAACCGGGTCGAAGCGATGTAAAATAACGATAAAAAAAAAGAATAGGATTACAATTCACTTCGCCACATTGGATCCAGATACTTCATTCAGAATGTCATCAGATCCTGATGCAAAAGTCTAATCAATAAATTATGACCAGTATTGGATCTAAAACTGATCTAGACCGAAACTAACTGAGTAAAATTTCCACACGGGCTGATCCATAATGAAGTCACCTTAGCCAAATTTCCACCAGGTCTTAACGCTCTACAACATACTAGAACTTTCCATGATTTTTTGGTAAAATCCGCAACTTAAATACTGAAAAGTCAGATTAGTTAACGGAAAAAAATATCCTTGAATTGGGTATATAATATTCCGGAATCAGGAATATCGGTATTCAGGAATAATATACCGGAATATGGAATAATAATCCGGAATTTGGGATATTTTATTCTCGATTCCGGAATAATATTCCGGAATCCGTGATATTTTATCCTTAATTTCGGAATAACTTTTCGGAATCTGGTATATATAATTTTCAAATGGATTCTCAGTCGATATTGGGATAAATTCATTCTCTGCATGATAGTGTACGTCAAATTGGTGACTCGAAGAGAAGAGGAAAAAGGAAAGGGCTGGAAAAGAAAAAAGTAACACGATTATACTGTGACAAAGTGCAAGTTTAGGGCCTCTCAAACCTCCACCTCGTGTAGTGACTCGAGCAGTCACGTATGAAAAAATGCTATAGGATTTCCTATAGGAAATCCTATGGAGAATTCGAACATTTCCTATAGGATTTTTCTGATAAAATTTCCCACAGGATTTCCTATAGGATTTCCTATAGGATTCCCTATAGAATTTCCTATCAGATTCATGACCCTAATACTGACCCTTGTGACCGATTGGTTTCGAGTCTCAATTTTGTGTGTTACTTTCTATAGAAAACCCTATAGTGAATTCTATAGCAAATCCTATAGAAAATCCTATAGGAAATTCCACCAGAAAAATCCTATAGGAAATCCTATAGGATATCCTATAGGATTTTTTCATACGTGGTCATCAGAATGAGGAGCTCAACGGCCTCCCAGCAACTTCAAACTGTTCGGGAGGTTGCTGGTGGCAATAATAATGAAAAAATCCCGAAAGAATGTCGCAAAATATGACCAATTGCACCTTGAAACCCATTGATAATTCGCAAAACCCCCAGTTGCCACACTGATAGAAAGGATTATTTATTGTTAACGAATGGATTTGGTTGAAGACGAGGTTCTATTCGGTCTCACCAAATGTTTATTCGTTAATAATTAACAAATGTACATTTAAGGAGCCGTGTTTGACTCGATTTCCACTTTTCAAGTGAACTATTCGTTAACTATTAACGAATATTCATTTGGTCATATTCAACTCTACCATTCATTAATAGTTAACGAATCTCGTTCGGAATAAATGAATTAGGCAATCAGTGCAGTCGAAAGGGCCAATCCGCGGAGGAAGAACGTATGAAAATACTTCCCTGAGTGCTTTTCGTGATTATTGCCTGATCTTACTTCAACTCAGACGTTGCGTCGTCAGTACATGTCATCTCTTACAGTTGCAACGTACAATATTTCAATGCGAGGAAGTTCCCGGAATATTATTCCGGAATTGAGGATAAAATATTCCGGATTACGGAATATTATTCCGGAATCCAGAATATAATATACCGGATTCAGCAATATACATATTTCTGATTCCAGAATATTATATCCCACATTCGAGGATATTTTTTTTCTGTGTTCGGGTTTCAATTTTCATGGTGATCTTTGACCCTTCCTCTCTCACGTGGACTCTTCAATGATCTTTGTACCACTTTCTTATCGATCCTTTTTCGAACGTTCAACCATTTGGCCTTATCTTTTTTCTTTAAGTTTCGTTTTTTAATAATTAAACGACTTCGAAAATTTTTTTAACTTCGTGAGGAACAAAGGGGGGTAGTAATCATTCCTGCAGATTACTTTCTTACGAACTTTTTGAGGTTTCTCATCAATAGTGTGAAGAGGGGCTATAAAAGTTGGAAGGAATGCTGGAAGGTGGAGCTGTAAAAAATAAAACTTTGGTTATTGAATATGCTTAAAAAATTGGAAATTATGAAACGAGTTTCAGTGAAAAATCTTACAGAAGATGCGTGGCAAACTTCGAAGAGAAGGGCAAAAATCACAACGATCTTCATGGTGTTCGTTACTTTGGTGAACACTTCGACACTTCGTAATCTCCTCTCTGTGGTGAAGTTTAACAGGCCTCGTTCTTTATGTACTTTCAATCTTGAGCGACGAACCGTAATAGCTTATCTGTTATGGGTGGATATAAAATCATTGTTACTTGCGTTTTAATATCGTTTTTGTAATTCAGAGGTCATGGGTGAATTAATTCCGTCCAGTCCGCAGAGATATCGCTGGGGTTGGGACTAGGTTGATCGAATTATACGGGTTGATTAATTTGATGTAATGATTCGAGTTCAATTGGCCATGGTTTTATGGTTACTGCATGTGTGAAATCATGCAATTGGAAATGCTATCACAGTTGCGAGGACATTCTCTTAAAAATACTAGCAGTTTTGCTCAGGGATAGCCATATCCATAAATTATAATTACTGTGAAATTATTAAGTAACCAATTAGTTCATATCACTTTTAAATTTTAATTATTGAAGTAATCGTCAACTTAAATAGCAAAAATTTTGAATTATTCATTAATCAGTAATTGAGTTAGGAAGATTGGCGATTATTTGGATAATTGGAAATCCCTTATAAGAAATTTAGAATTTTACTTGGTTGTAATTTTTCATCATTTTTTTATTTGTGTAGATTAAAATTAATGGATTGTTCTTGAAGAGGAGTGCATTCACCACACGAAGTGTTGGCAAAGATAATTAAGTGTTCTTCGATGTGAGTAAAATTGCCGTAAAGCGTTTTATGATAAAAAAAATTTTATAATAAATATGTTATTTCTATTTGAAGCTCACGAATTCACTTGAATTTCCCGCTGCAATTTCATTAGCGTAAACATCCTTCTGAATAAATCTCGATGTCCCGTAAAATTTCTATGCCCTTGATAGGGAATGAGGAATGGTCCAGGATAAGCCGGGAGTTGCCCAGCAATGGCCAATATGTCGGCCCATATTGGGCCGCCTTCGGCGAATCTACGCCCATTCCTCATCAATATTCTTACCAGGGGCGACTGTCTGTGAAGAGCCAGTTCTCAATTAAGAGCGTGCGCAATTGGGTTAGAAAAACGTTAATACTTGGCTTCATTATTCAGGAAGAAGCCCTGGTAACACTGAGATGGATCAAATAGTTGGACTCCATCAATGTTGTGAAGTTACAGTAGACTGTCGCTAGTTGTTCATCGAAAGGGCTGTACGGGTACCATTTCCAAGAAATGAACAACTTTCCACCGGTCCCCACTCCTCAACCAATGGCGACCGAAGTCCTCAGAAAAATGAGAGTGAATGAAGTTTTATTTTCGGATAAAATTATTTGGACCGCTGTGTTTACGTACGAAGGACAAAAGAAAACTGAGTGGAATTTTCAATCAGGTCCAGATCAGGAATTGATCAAGTCAGCCCTGACGTAGGATCAGACTGTGATCCTGTGAACTGATCAGGTCCTGATCAAAGGTGTAACGCCGTTTTAGATTCATATTTGATCAGGCCTGGCCCATCGATCCGGACCGGAGGAACGCGTTCAGTTTCATTACTAATATTCATTAACAAAAACCGATGATTAAATTCTCAAAAAAAATTTTTACGGAAATTTGTGACCTTCTTGGTCACTCCGTAACGCATTTAGCACAGAAACAGCTGATTCTGTTATCGCACATTATTCCGCCTACGACTGGTTTCGAATCCGGGATCCTACACCCTAACCACTAGACTACGGCGCTAATCTTACAATGTGAATCTCGTATTGTCAATATGACGTTCGTTTGCATGTATCATCTCCAAATATTATTCCTCCACTACCCGGGTCGAAATTTTGATCCCAACAAGTTCTACTAAGGGCTACTTACGTGCCAAATCGGCACTAAGTAGGACTTAGGAGTACTTAAATTATTGAAGAAATTCTTAGAATTCTGCCCTAATTCTTGGAAGGTCTGGAGGATACCTGGTTTTGGGGGGTTCCCCCATTCTCCATATATAGGTTCAAATATTTTCTTCCTTTTTTGGGGTTCACTCCAGCTTCGTCCACGTCGCAAACTCTGGGTAACGCTAAAGCTGGTGGAGACTGTAGTTTCCACTTGCTCTATAAATTGAATTCCTAAGATAGCTAATTTAACTAAATAAATCTAAATTTAAATAATTAAATTAGATTAGTTAAATTACATAAATAATTTAAAAAATTGCTGTGAGAAGGACAGTGGAGGTAATGAAACATCTGATAACTAAAGAAACCAATAATTCTAATAGTTATAAAACGCAAAGGAATGATAGACTAAAGAGAATTAGATATGACTTAAATGTAGACACGGGCTATTGCTGACAATAATCAATTTCTAGATAGATTTCTGCTAGCAGGGGTGAATTTATCCAGCATCCCCCTCCCCCTTTTCCGTCTACTATCGTTTTCCTCCTCCGCGCATCGTTCCATTTACATTTGATCCTTATGATTTATAATGACTTTTGAACCTTGAAACAGCTGACCCTTCAAACAAGATATTTGAGTCTTGAAATGTTAGACCCTTCAGACGGTTGACCCTTTAAATGTCTATCCCTTACGACATTCGGCCCTTGACATGTCTGACCCTTGAGATTTTTGACCCGTAAGGCTTCGAGTCCTTTAAACATCTGACTCTTGTGAACCTTAAGACACCTGATCCTTGCTACGTTTAACCCTCAAGACGTCTGATCCTTGAAGCAACTGACGCCGTGCTCAGATTGAGATCAAGGTGATCAAATCCTAATCTGATAGTGTTTATTTCTGGATGCCCTGCTCAAATTGACATAAGTGTGATAGAATCTGAACCTGATCAGATTCATCTCAGGATATTCTGCTCAAATTGCAATCAGAGTGACCAGATCCGCACCTGATCAAAGTGATTTCAAGCTGCCTGGCCGCAGAAACACCGGATCAGTGTTTCACCAGATTTTGATCAGGTTTCACATGATCAGTCGAACCTGACTACAGACGGATCCATTTCTGGCGACAAGTGGTCTGAGCGGAATTTCCACTCGAGAAACGATAAAGCGGCCGAGAGTGGGGTCGCAGCGTTAGAGTGTCCGAGAAGGGGATTAGGGGAAAACGAGCAACTACTAACGGACATGCTCTAGCAACCCGAGTGGAAATTCCGGTTATGTCTTGATCAAGTTTGGATCAGGTTAGACCTGACCACTGATCAGGTATTGATCAAGTTGACGGATCCGGTCTTGATCAGACATGTAACGCCTCTGACCAATTCGGATTTGATCAGGATAAATGGATCCAGAATTGATCAAGTCAACTGTATGAAAATCGGATGACCTGTCTGTCAGTATCAATAACAATTATCAATGATAATTAACAAAACAAAAGAATTCAATTCTTTCACCGTAGACCGCCTCTCTTAATGAATCTCTACTGTTATTAACTCTGAAAAAGCTTATTATTTTTCTACGGATGCTGAGGATCGAACCGGGGACCCTATGATTGCTATCCTATGCTCTAACCACTACGCTATCACGCTATTACTATTGAGGAAACTGTACATTGCCTATATGGTTTGTATTGGGGTATTCGTTGAATTTACGATTATTCCTGATCTCGCGGATATCGCGATCAATTAAATTTTGATTTATGTCATGAATGAATAATAATAATGATAATAACAATAACACTAATAAATAAATAGACATTTGGTGATTTTTTTTCTCAAGATCATTCACGTGTAAGTTTGATACTCCTCTAATACGTATTTATGCCATCATCCCTCCCTTCTGTACATGTGAGAAAGGCTGACTGTTAATTAAATTGATTAATTAAATTAAATTCATTAAATGAAATTAATTTAATTTATTTTAATTATAGTATAATGATCCTTTTTGAAGATTGAAAATAATTATTGATAATGACTGATAAAACTTAAATTGAAAAGTATAATAATAGTTAATTAAATTATCCGAAAAGCTTAGTAAAATTAAGGTCAGCTGGACCGGATCTGAATCTGATCAGTTTCTGTTCAATTGACCCCGTTCAAATGCTTATCAAAGACATCAAATCGGAATTTGATCAAATTGGGGTCAGGCAGCCGACCTCAGGGTGAGATCGTGCCTACCTGATCAAAACTTGATCTGAATCATCCAGCAGTTTTTCGGATCCAATCTACTGGATCAAAACTTGGTCAGGTTTTCATCAGGCATCATCTGATCATGTCTACTTGATCAGAACTTGATCTGAACCCGCCTGTAGTTTTTCGGATCCGATCTGCTGGATCAGAACTTGGTCAGGTTCTCATCATGCATCATTTGATCATGTCTACCTCATCAGAACTTGATCAGAACCCGCCTGTAGTTTTCTGGATCTGCTGGATCAGAACTTGGTCAGGTTCTCATCAGGAATCACTGGGTTCAGGTGGAAATGAAGCATCAGGTGAGCCTGAAGCAATTTCCACTCGGGAAGAGTTTACCGTATACCGAAGGTTATTAGTACGGCAGATGAAGAATGTCAAAATCTTCATACACCACATGACCCATATTTATAGGATGAGTTTTGAAAACATGACATACGATGCGGAAATCAATAATTGCACAATTGTTGTAATTTTGCCAACATTCAATTTATTTCATTTTCTCCCAATTAATTTCAAAAACTTTCGACAATCCACTTTTCCTTCCCTTCTACCAAAATCCATCTATTTTTCTCCAACTTATCCCCTCTACGCAGTTTTCGGATGAGATGAATGCTTAGGTCTCATCAGAGTCACGGGATCCCAATCCTCTCCAAGGTTCTCCTTGAGCTCGGGATTCTTTGAAATAATCTGTCGCATTGTGTTTCCTAACGCTTCATAGAAAAGGTTGTTGAATAGTTGTTGACCAGTGAGAGTTGGACCAATGAATTTTGGAGGTTCCATCGTCGTTGCGTCCGCTGTATTGAACAGAAAAAAGAAAATATTAGATTACAAACGTTGGATCTACTACAAGAGCATGAATGATAAGAAAAAAACCTTTAGTTGCTGCTTCCTTAAGTTTCTCCGCCTTTAGTTTTTCCTCCTTGAGTTTCTCTTCTTTTGCTTTTTCCTCTTTAAGCTTCTCTTCTCTTGCTTTTTCTTCCTTGAGTTTCTCCTCTTTTGCTTTTTTCGCCTTAAGTTTTTCTTCTCTTGCTTTTTCCTCCTTAAGTTTCATCTCTTTTGCTATTTCCGCCTTAATTTTATCCTCTATTTCCTTTGCCTCCTTGAGTTTATCCACTCGTGCCTGCGCTTCATCTCTCACTTTTTTTGCTTGTTCTAAGTCAGAAGCAGAATTCTTCCTCCCAGAATGAGTCACCTGTTCTGTTGTAGAATTTAAACTTCTTGGAGCCACTTCCCCCATAGATGACTTATCCTCTTTTTCTCCCGGATCGCCTGAAAAGAGGCCATTGATTGGTCAACTAGACAATAATCAAGTAACTCACATTTTCCCGGAGTAATAAGGATGCTTTAAATGGGCTCAGCGACAGTACCCGTCTGAAAATTCAAGCGAAGATGCGGCTGAAACTCCGCTCACGCGGTCGAACCGACCGCCCAGCCCTGGCTTGACTGTATAGCAAGCGGGGATTGAGCGGAGAGATTTCTACACGGGTAGTGTACATACGGACAGCTTCGGCGGTCGTCCAAGCTAGCAGGGTTTAGTCTGGTTAGTACTTGGATGGGTGACCACTTAGCCCCACCCGCTCGTATGGAATTGCTGCCGTCAGGCACGAATGTAGAGACCAGCTGTATTCATCTAGCCAATGTGACAGATGGACACAACAGGACCCTGCAATATCGGCCGACTGTACGACTGGGGTTTTCCATGGTTTCCCTTGCAGTCCTACCCCGAATGGAGTGTATAGTTGATGGGTAAAGATTAAGATCCATGGTACATGATACAGCTACATAAAAGTACCGATTTAAGTCGACGTCGGCTTGATTCTACTCGATTTTCGAATTGATTTAAGTCAAGTGACTCGGACTACGCCAATCCGGATTCCGGGTTTGATATGAACCAAAAAGTGGTTTATTTCAAGAAGAAACGTCTCGAGCTGAAATATCGACTTGAATCAAGTCGAAAAATCAACTTGATTCAAGTCGATTTTTCGGCATGATTTAAGCGGATTTTTCGGCTTAATTCTAGTCAAATCGACACTTGGTCTAAGTCGGAGAGATACACTGTTGGAAAAAAAATCTAAATTTCATGGAGAGTTCAATAGTTATTTTATGAAAATGACATGAAATTCGATTCACGGGAAAAAATCATGAAATTCCAAATTTTACAGATTATTCTCTCATCTGAATGTCAACCGATAGAAATTCGGTAATTAACTTTTTGCGGAAAAGTGGTAGTAGAATTATTATTTCCATTTAGTCGCATGGCCACCTTGGTTGACGATTTTCTGTTAAAATAAATTAAGATCTGGTGTGAATATGGCTTCAACCCGCAAAACCTCTTCCCTTTCCCCATCAATGAAATCCCACTTCAACAATCCCCTTCGGCATCTGTAAGACCCCTCACCCTATATAAAATCTGCATAAGACCTCGGAATTTAGAATCCTCATCCGTTAACAAAGTCTCCCTTTTACAGCCCCGTGTATAAAAACCTCTCTCCATGGATGAAAGTGTTTGCTCAATCAAGCCGAAGAATCGACTTGAATCAAGCCGGAAAATCGACTTGAATTAAGCCGAAAATTCGAGTTCAATCAAGCCGAAAATCGACTTCAATCACGCTGAAAAATTGGCTTCAATTAATTCGAAAAATCAACCTGAATCGAGCCAAAGAATCGAATTGAATCAAGTTGAACTCCACCTGAATCAAGTGGAAAAATCGACTTGAATCGGACCGATGTGCCGGTTTGCATCTCACCGAGTCAGACTTGATTTATGCCGTCGATCTGATATCAAATAAGTCGATTGCCGGCATGATTCAGTCTGACTTGATCCCGACCAATTTTTCGACTTGATTCAGGACGACTTTTTTGGGTATAATGCAGACATTGGAGGGAAATTATTTCAAAGGCCGAAAGGTCACACATGTCGGAATAAAAGTAGAAAATAAAAATCAACCATCCGGTTCATACGAAGACTTGTAGAAGATTGATTGCGGTTTCTGCTGTAATTTGGCAGCATCAGTCAATGCAGCTTCAGTTCTTTCCATAGAGGAAGTACGCCGCAACGCGCGTACACTTGGAGAATTGCAGACGTCATGAAGGTTATCAACCAATTCATTGATTTTACGGACTTCGTCGTTCAATTGTCGTAAAATACTTGCGCCAAACTATAACCACAATCGAAAAAAATGATGGAGTTCTCTTACTGATGTATTCTGATGAGAAATATATATTTTAAGATAAAATCCTAAAGGGACGTTCACCGAATCTTCAATTTATGAACACGTATGCTGAATTTATGTGAAATTAATGTATCTCAGCTGGATGACAAAAGTATAACTGGGAAACTTGAACCAACTATTATTAGCCAGCTTTGCTCTGGAGTGACTCGTGCACTCGATGCAGTTGAAGCTAGAGATGAAAAATTGCTCTTTGAATTTTAAGTAAAAAATCTTGCAAGTTTTCACAATCGACAATTTTTTAGCACGAGTGCTATCTGTTAGAGAATTTTTCAGTCCAAATTTCAGTTCCCAATTTCGTTTCAAATTTACTCAACTGATTATTTTTGGTAATCGGATCTGGCCTTCCCTGGGTGAATCAGAGTTCAGTATTCAATAACATGAAGTACTTCCCAATTAAAATTACAGCGGTTATTTCCCCCTAGCTTTTGATAATTTCCCTCTAGCCCTGCAATTGTTTCTCTAACCAAATAACTGTCAAATATTATCCTGTGGAGTAAAAGAAAGTCATGAAGAATGTTAAAATGAGTCGGTTTGGGAAGGATCCGATTACCAAAAACCCGGGTAGAAATTCATCCGGGGATTCAGCCGCAACTCGGGTGAGCGCGAGCTCAGCCTCGGCTTGCCGCTTGACCCGAGTTCACGCCGCGACACGCCGCTCCATACCGGCTCACAGTCGAACGCTCATCAGACGGCATAACCCGGCACTTGAGTTTGAGCTGTGGCTCAACGCTTAGAACTCAGCTCTGATTGAGTCGTGTCGTTTCGAGTGGAGGGTGGAATAGAATGATATTATGCATTTTTAGAATATCGATTTAAAATTTGAATACTTTGGAAAATCCTTGTCTTCTTACTATAAAAAAAAAATGGAATTCCACTGAACTTTCTATAAAATTTGAAATTGACTGATTTTTCCCTCTGTCATCGAATATACTGTGACTCGCTTCAAAATAACAACCCATAAAATTTGGCTTTCTTCCTCACAGTGCGGAGATATATGGAAATGAGATAGGGAAATGATATGAAATAGGGAAATAGAGTTGAATTTTTTCGGATTTTTTTGATTGTTCCAATTAATAAAGAATAATTCTGAATCATTACTACTTTAGATCGTTTATTTTATTTTACTGAATGAAGAACAACGTCAAAGTTTTTCAAGTGATTATTTTTCTTGATTTTGTTTGTTGTATTCGTGAGAAAAAAGAAAGTTTTGACTACGTTTCAGTGAATTGTTCTACCTTGTATTTTCAGATTAATCCCATTCGATTAGTTAATATCACGTTATTTCTGATGAGCTTGTGATTGTTCATCTGAAAAAGCATGCCATCTTCACATTTATTCGATTGTTTTTTCGCTCAAATCACGATGCCATCGGACCTGTCAAATCATTATTGAGGTTAAGTATACTGGGATTGAGTAATTGGAGATGAACCTGAGGTTGAGCAGTGGCCATTCAACTAAAGCCCGGCGAAGCGTTTCGCGTAATAGTCTAACGCTGGGCTGTGAGCGCGTGACGCGGCTCAACCTCGGGTACATGTGACGCGCGTGGAGTTTATCCCAAGCTGGGGCGGAGTGGCGTATTTCTAGCTGGGATACGGGTTCCGAGCCTAGCTCGAGCGGCGTGATTTCTACCCGGGAATAATCCGTCGAATACCACTCGATCTCCAAAATTAATCGAACGTTTCCCTCATGTTTTCCTGCGTATCAACGATCGGGATAAGTTTTGCACAAAAATCCTTCGCGCTGCGCCCTCGGGATTTTAATTTGAAAATTTCCGGTATACTTTCCAAAAAGTATACCGGAAATTTCTGACAAAATTTTTTAACAATGTATGTGTTTGTGAATTGAAACTGAGATGCGTCCTTTCAGAATTCCTCGCATGATTCCTCTCCCATTCACAAAATTAATAGAATTGATACTACTTACAGTATGTGGAGCCAGAACGAGCAGGAGCAGAGCGCAAATTGTTCTCCCCATGACTCCGAAATCTGCACGTTGCAGTCTATCAACCCTCGCGAGACAATTTATAGACAAGAATTAGAGTCACTCCGTTCCTTTGCAAATCATTTCACATATCTGTCTCATAATTCCACATACGTCGTTCGTCAGGATGCATTTTCAGTTTTATCAAGCGGCAACTCGTGATCGTAAAAATAAAAATACCACTCTTTAATGCGATAGATCAATTTTCCCAAGACCTGCGAGCGTTATTGCGTTTGCACCATTACTCAGATTGGTTTTTTAATGTTCGCACTGTTCCGCTAACTCCAGTTATGTTATTATTGCCTGTGACTTATGAGGTACATGTTGGGATATGGAATAAACAGATTATTCTTCATTGAGACTAAGAAATTTCAATTACTGGTTTCTAATTTTTATTCAAGAATTTGTACGTTCATTAATGCTAGTCATAAAATATAATTACAGCGATTATTTTAACTAATTCTAGGTTTTCTTTATGGTTGTAAGGTGATGAGGAAAGCGTTGCAACTTTCCTCAGTAGGCAAACATTGCCCAAAGGCTTCTAATAATAAAGGCTCTTCCTTGATGGCTGCCTCGTAGTCTATGAACGATACCTTCCCGTCGTGATCAACGTCCAATTTCTTGAGTGCTAGTTCGGAAAGATCTCGCACTCCCTCGTCGGGGTCTTCCTCCCCCGGTTGTTTTATCAAGCAATTTCTGTAAATAAAAATCATGGATATGGATAATTCCATATCAATGATGGATGAAAAAAAATTAAGATGAAAAAATAATGATTTGTAGGTAATGAATCATTTATACGTAATTAATGATGAATAAGGAAGAGTTGATATGAATTATATTCTGAATTAGGGGGCTCCGCCCCCTGCTCGCTCCGCTCGCCAATCCGGGTGGGGGCTTCGCTCCCCCCACTCGCTCCGCTCCCCCCGTTCGCTCCGCTCACCACATTCGCTTCACTCCCCCCGCTCACTAACCCCCCCTCCTACGGAGCGGGTGTGATCAAATATGAAAATATAAATTCATCATTTCCTTGAATTCAAGAAGAAGTCCCAAAAGTAATCAGCATTTTTTTCTGTTCTATATATGAGGGTATTAGGGGGGAAATTTTTAAAAGTTGTAGCTGAGAGTGCCTCCTAAATGGAATCGAATTTCAGAAGAAAAAAAAATGACAACTTCGAAAATTGTTTGTGGCAATATATTTCATGTACAGATTTGGTGGAATCGCTAGCCTTTCCCCCCTCTTGTTTGTTTATTATATAGAGAGAAGAGATAATGTGCCATAATAAACATTTAAACATTTCTTTAGATTCATTAACTAACTTGAATAATTGGAACATCTCGTCCTTCGTGATGTACCCATCACTATTTAGATCATAAACTCTGAAGCAGAATTCCATTTTATCCCGCAGAGTACCCCGCAAAAAAACATCGAGCCCTGTGATCCAGGATTCCAGTCGTATCGCTCCCTCGCATTCACGATCCCAACAGCAAAACATTCGTTCGATCAAGGCATCTTCTGTGATGATGTCGAAGGTATTGTGCACCAATTCTCGGAATATGGTACGATCAATTCCCTGTTGGTGACAGGTTTTTTATATTTTTTTCAAGTCCAAGGAGTCGGGATAATATTCGTGAAAAAAAATTTCACTTAATCGAATTTACCTCAACAGTTTGAATTGTTTGGGGTCCTTTACTCAATATTGATGACTCTTTTTGTTGTGAAGGAAGGGACGTAAGTTTCCTGTAGATTTTACAAAGCGCCTCCAGCTCAACCCTACAAAAAAGAAGGAAATATTGAGGGAAAGAGAGAATATTCTGCAGATGGAAGAATTGGTTCTTAAATTGAAGGGAAATCATTTTCGAATCGTGGTTTTTCGAATTCATAATTAAACGTGATAAAAATTCCAGTCTAATAGCATATTTTAAACTTAGGAATATTTTTTCCCAGCATATCATCAAACTATGGGTTAATAATGCTGACGCAATTTTGGAGGCCAAAAATTTGTGATTCCCCCCCCTGCGCTTGCGGGTTTCAAACGCGTGGTCCTCCACCAACTTTGCAACCCTTTATTGGACCTTTCAACCCGGAAAATATTAGCGACGGAGAAAAATCGAGAAGAACCAAATGCCAATCAGGGCGCCAGCCCTTTTGACCTCCAAAAACTGCGTCAGCATTATTAACCCACAGTTTCAATGTTTATGTTTATATTCAAATGACCTTGAAAATCTTGTTTTCTTCCTCAACGTATCAACGACCTTGGTGTAGTAAGTCTTCATACTGGCATCGTCCGGCCGTCTCCTTCGTCTCCTCCTGGGGGGTGACTCGGAGCTCGGTTTTTTAGAGTTAACGGATACCTTTCGTCCGCTCGTCAGGAAGATTGAAACACTTTTCAGGACTAGCGCCCCAGTACGCGCACTCATGCGACTCATAATGGCGCTGAGGTCGAGACCACCATCCCCACCACTCGCGTGGTGGCCGCCCTTCACCGCGCTCAGCATGTCTACTCTCTCGTTTATTCCTCTCCTTCACTGGAATTCTGAATCCACTTGGATTCTGAGTGACTGAATACGGAAAGAGAAATTGTTTCAGTCTGAATTCTATATGCAAGGCAAACATTTCAATATTATATTTTTCTCTCGTATAATATTTCAATTATCTGTTTGTTTCTTTCAACTGAATTTTCTTCGCTGGAGACATTTTTCGTTTGTCTCGGGTTCCTGAGTTATTATTCCCATCGCATTTGCGTAATTTTATTTGCATTGCATGTCAAATCGAACCCGCTTCGTCACGAATGATTTTAGAATCAATCGATGGCTGAACATTTAAGGGCTTTTCCCCTTCATTGCATGTACTTTAAATTTTATCCTACATACTCATGACAATTGTTATTTGTAATGGGTTTTTTTCGGCACAATTGCAGAGTTGTTTCAATATTTTCGACTTCGAAAATTATACGTTTAATTTTGCTACTGCAAGGCTGCATGTCAAAACATCATTATTGGGGAACCAACTGAATCAACTTCGCTCGTTAAGATTCATACATATTTACAAAACTACGGACGATAGGGGCTATCAAGGACTGTTGATTTAAAATTCCTGAAATTGCAATCATAGGAGCGGAGTGGATTATCGTGAGTTATCAATGGTGAATCTCGGGCAATTCAAAATTACTTGGCATGTAACTACTGGGAAATTGAATAGAACTGTCTATTCTACATCGTGGTATATCTATAGTGTTCAAAGTTCTGATTCAAACGCTGGATAGGCACTGACAATTTTGCCGGACTTGAATTCCCTTGTGATAGTGATCAGACGAGAAATTCACCGGATTCTCGACGTCTAATTTTAGTTTGTAATGCACTGTAAGATTGTGGGGTATTATACCAGCCGCGTGCTTACGACTGGATGGAGAAAGTAATTTTCTCTAATCGAAGATACTTGCAGGTAATCGATTGGAGAAGATTCCACAATGAACGAGGGGAAGGACTGACGTAACTCTTGCAATTATTAAACACAATTAAAGATAATTTAATTCTTTGAAGTTGGTTTTCGACCGTTGTAAATCATTTTGTGGATGCATGGTCATGCGGAGAGTTGCTTCTAATTTTTCATGTACGTATCGACATTTCATAATTTTTGTAATATGTGATTTCCATAGTTTAAGTTTTTTGTAATTTACGTATTTTGAACATTTGATTAGAAGATTAACCCCAGATTGGTCACCATATGAGGGAAACGCCGCAGCCCGTCGTTTTTCTTGAATTGCCATTGAATGGCTGATCGGAAAAATTCAAAAAAATTTGACTTTTCCAATTAAAGTATCTAAAAAATTAGAGTAGTTTCAGAACAACATAATTCTCGAAATTCCTGAAGAAAACAATTTTTTTCTCACAGAGGAATTATTTTTCCCGTGTTCAATGAAAGTGCCTGTTACGCGATGTTGCCGAAAACTCCCTAAACGCGTCCGGGCAGTGTAGAGTGAATTTGGCATCTTCGGGCCTAAATAACACGGCGGCACTTCTCCGCGGACGTGACCAAAGTCGTTGGGTCACGTAGGGTGACCAGACTAGGGTTAAAGGACCCCCTGATGAGAGTCTCTCTGGAAGCTGAAACGTTGGGTCATCGACAAAAATCCTTTTTTTTTTACTCAACCTGTCACATTGCTGGAGACCGCCTAGGCCAAATAACTAACATCAGTCTACAAAACAATAATTTAATCGTTTTTAGACAATTACGAGTGTTGTGTCAATTCTATTTAGCGTTCATTGTGAAATCTCATTTAGACGGATTTGTATTGCAATTACTATCGTGTTGTATTGAAAAAGTCAATTATCGTCCTGTGATGAATTTTTGTACTCGAAATTAGGGGGTTACGCCCCCTGCTGTGCTCGCTCCGCTCGCCAACCCCCATATAACCCTCATCATCTTTATTCTGACCCTTGCGACTCTTAATCTGACCCTCCTGACGCTCATTATACCCCTCGTGACCCTCAATCGGACCCAACTGACCCTTAATGTGCCCCTCGTAATCCTTATTCTGACCTCCATGACCCTTAACCTGATCTCTGGGACGCTTAATCTGACCCTCGTGATCTTTATTTTGACCCTTATTCTGACCCTCGTGACCCTTATTCTGACCCTTATTCGACCCTGATGCCTCTGTTTTGACCCTTGTGACCCTTAATTGTGGAGTCTTAATTTCGTGTACCAAATTTTGATCATATGGATCATACTCGTGCTTCGCACTCGTGATTTTTTAACCTGAAAAACTTGACTCCTTCGTTTGTTTGCAACGAACCTATCGGAAAATATCCGATAATTTTGAAGCTCTTGTGGTATTACAAGTGAAAAAATGAAAACAAATGACCGTAAAAAGTTTTTTAATCCGTAGCCAGTCGCTCCCTTCACTGGCTCCCGGATGTGGTGTGACTGGCAGGAGTGGGTGTGACCTAGTTTGTGAAGAAATCAACCCTTCATTTGGATATAAATCAGTCGTTAAAAAATTTGTATAAAATGGTTCCATAATGGAAGATTTTTAGAAGTTTGTATTTATCATAGAAATCATAACAATCATATCAAAGTTGTTGAAATTTTCATTAATAGTAGATTATGTCATAAGGATGATAGGTCGAGACCATTGTCCGAATGACATAATCTATTTTTTATCACGAAGTCCCGTAAAGCTGGTTTGTGGTTAGATATTTAACGAGTCTAGGAGCGCTAACCGCAGTTAGCACTCCTAGGAGCGCTAAAGCGCGACATGAAGTCAGCCGTTCCTCTTTATCAAGTCCATGGCTGCACATCGCCACCTATCGGCCGCAGAACAGGCCGATAGGTGCAGGTTAGCAGGACTCAGTAGTGAAAATATCTATTTTGAAATGATTTTACCTTTTCTTTTTTCAGCTTTTGAATGAAAGTGATAAAGGCAAAATGGACTGTCTATAACTATTGATTATCTGTGATCGACAAAAAAATTTCCCTTTCAGGTTGCCAGGCAACGAAATAGGATTAACCGAAAATGATCGAAATCTACATTTCTGTTCGGTAAAAATGCAAATACTGCATTTCTGTTGGTTGACATTAACATCTCGAGTCAAAATTTCACCGAGTCCCTCAACTTGATTCACAGGCAAGTTTGCGACATTGGAATCAAGTTGGCCACTGTACAAGCTTAACAGACGGGTTAACTTACTTTCGACGCATATATTTCCATTTATTCTATATTTTACGTTGAATATAAGTTGATCTTCATCATACCCCTGATGTTCCTTCAGCTTAGGTTGCAGGAGCCCTTGCCTTCCCCTCTCGCCCTTTCCGCCCTCGCCGCTACTTCTTTCCCGCCCTTCCTTCGCTACTTTTTTCCCTTCCGCCCGATTATAATTGATAAAAGAGTTTAGATAGATTAGATAAGTCAATATTCTTGCATAAAAAAACATGTAACGGCAGGGATCGAGTCACGGCTCTGATGTTTCAAACGTTCTTATAAATACTTCAATTATCATCAATGAGGACTTTAATGCAGTTCTAATGTGGACGTTGAAAGTACCAAATGTAAGTTAACAATATAGTACTCAACTTGCTCTCAATATTCCTGACGTTGGGGGCATGTTGAGTATACGATTGGAAGTTGAGGGATTTTGGACGTTGATGTATTATTAAGTTGACGTGGGTCGAAAGAACGCTGAAGATTCCGCGGAAAAATTGAACATCAAAGAATAGTAAGTTTAGAACGTTGAGACTACGTTGGGGACCCGGTAAAATTTTGATTCGGGATGGAGGAATAATCATAGAAAGCCTGTAATTTGATCAGAAATAACCAGAAAGTCAACTTGATCTTTACAAGAAGTTTTGTAATTGTAATTTCTTTTAGTACTAACACTACACGTATGAAAAAATTCAATAGGAAACCTAGGAAATTCGCTAGAAAATTCTATTGGATATTCGATAACAAAAAGTCAATAGATTTCGAATTTCTGTTTGAATTTTTCTCTTGAGATTTTTTCTATAAGAATGCTTGAACATCAATTTTCTAAGTTTTTTCCACTCGGATTCTGTCATGCAAAACAATGTAAAATTCATCGAAAAAACTTTAAAAAATTTGTGCCCAATAATTCTAATAGAAAAAATCTCAAGAAAAAAATTCGAACAGAAATTCAAACTATATTGACTTTTTCCTATCAAAAATGCAATAGAATCAGCCCAAAAACAAGTCGAATTTTCCAATAGAATTCCAGTAGAAATCCTATAGAAATCTCATAGAATTAGTATAGAATTCCAATAGAATTTTCTAGCGAATTCGCTAGGTTGTCTATTGAATTTTTTCATGCGTGTATAATTTTTCTTCAAAAGTTCTCTCCTTCCAGAAATGATTGTTTATCCTTCCATTAGGCCATACCGTTGTCATCATGTCGATTTTCAGAGATTATAATATTTTCTTAATATTTACCTCCAAATACATGCCAAGTAGGGTGGCCATATTTTGATCTATCAAAACCGTAATAACAATAACTTCGTTTGATATGAAAATTAATGAGTACACGGAGAGAAGAGCCATGGGAAAGAGTCGAATGTCAAATTTACGGCTTGTATATATTTCTAAAAGTTAGGAAGCATTACTATGCTATGGTAATGATTCCTATTAGGTATGGTATTACATACTATGGGCCATAAGTCTCTCGGTGGGAATGAAGCCTATGAACATAGGAGAAATTACTATATTGAATAGTACCCTCAATCATGTTACAGGGTAGAGTGTACTATTAATTATGGTAAAGGGACCCATAGTCGTTTGGTAAAGTTTACCATAGTTTGTCGGAGAGATTACCATGCACTATGGTCACATGACCTATATTATATGGTAAAACGTGAAAAAGTCATAAAATGTCACGAATATAAAAGATAATGATCACTAAACTATATCATGATAATGATGAGTATAATGAGATAGAAATTTCAAGTGGGATATATATTTATATTTAACGTATTTGGTTTCGACGCTGTTTCAATAATTACAGAGTATTTTCTTATAATGTTGGATTTTTTCCTATTAATAATCATCAATATACCTAGATTAATCATATCGAATATCGTAAGGATCATATTTAACAATAACATATTTACATCAGTATTTTAATATCAGAATATACATATCTACAGAATAGTGGGATTTTTTGCCCCAAATTTTACCCAATCATTGGAAGAATTTTTGGCATTACGGTGCTATAAAAATTATTAAAAAATCCAAATGTGAGTAATTAAACTCAACAACTTTGCGTGAGAATTAGACCCAACGTTTCGGAACGTATTGCTTTCCATTCCCGGAGGTAGCTATATACGATAGGATACAAAATTTCATTTGTCGAAATGTCAATGTCGACCACCTCTTATCATTTATATCAATTTCATAGGATTGGAAATGTCTTTCAAAGGAGTATTCTTGTAATTGTTGAGTAACAAGAATAACTTGATTATTTGGCTCTAGGATTACGATATTGATCAAATGTAATTGAGGACCAGCCTCGGTCGGCATCATCAATATTACGTTTTCCCTGATATCATGTCCCAAATAATTGAGAGAGCTTACTATTGTAATATCTCCAGATCGATTGGACGGGAGACTGGCAGAAAATAACGATAATTTGGATGTAATGCTAATCTCTTGTTAAGAGCTGTACCAGGGAGATAAGGTGGTGGTAAAGACTTGTTGATGAGTAACCGATAATTCAATTTTAATTGTGCCTTGATGGCTATTTTTAGTATTTTCTACGATATCGAGAAAAGGAGAGATTACCATGTATAAATAGTACTGATTACCATCCACATGGTAATCTCTCCTATAATAATGGTTGTCGTTGCTATATTATATAGTAATGCCTACCATGTTCGAATGGTATTGATTACTATACAACATAGTACGCTTTACTGTTGAACATAGTAAAAATTACTATTGAGATTGACTTAGAAACCCTTTTACCATAATTTATGGTAACCTCTACCATACAAAAGTAACCGTTACCATTCACTTTTCTCCGCGTAAGCAAGCAATCCCATGTTCCAACTGAATATCAAAAAGTATTTGAAGAATATTTTTAAGCTGAAGTCATTTAAACTTTTTCTCTTCTCAAGAAGCAGTTAATATGGAGAAATGCTATCAGAGCTTCAATTTTCTGCCCTACAATCCTGTGTAGGTCGAAGACATAGATGCCAAATAAATTGGCCTTGAATGGGGTTTGGAAACGCAATGCCTAATGGTGTTGGAGGTATCGTGCGTCTGCGGGATCTTGAATGGGGTATGATATCGAAATAGATCGTAAAACAACTCACCTCAATCGACGCACTGGTTCGCACTTGGCAGCCAAAACTCGAGATATGGTGGAGGTACTTCGTTGTCTGTAGCAACGAGATTCTATCGACCAAGCAATCTGCACTTGCTCTGCAACAGCCCGTAGAAGCGAATATTACGAGAAAATTCGGCATTTTATGATGTCACCATTGGCGCCAAACTTAAATTGAAAACTTTTGCAAGTTTTTGTTAATGCAGAGATTTTTTTTCATGCGAAAGGATTTGATTGACTGTAGACCTCATAATTATACGTGGATGGTTGTGGAGTACATTATTAATTAGTGCTTCTCATTGCGTGTCGGGCATGATATTCCGTGCAGGCATGGTTAAAAAAATCAAGGGGAATCTTCAACAATTTGGGAGGGAAAATTTTTCTTTGCGAAAGTGCAAGAGTAATTAACTCAAAGGAGTTATTGAATAAAAGCTTTTGCGGATCGTGACATTGATTGGTTGTTTTCTCAGGTTATCGCGGTTTTTATTGCATGTTATTCAGTATTACTCGATATTATTCATTAATTTTTGTACTGTGCACATTGTACAAGAAATTTCCTTTTACCTTAATAATTAATTCAAATCGCGGTGATGACAACAATAAAAAATTGAATGATTGAAAATAACAATACTAATTAAATTGGTTCAATTGAATTGATAATCGATAGCCCTTTTCTTAGTGTATGTATTGAAATGTGTGATAAAGCTTCGCCTGGAATTACCACAATTGGATTCTTTCAGTTTGTGGAAATCACTTATTTCTCCATCCTCCTCTTCAATACCAGTCAAACATTCAACGTATTCTTCACATTTGAGCGCAATGGTTTTAATGTCTTCGCTGCCAATTCATCAATGGATCTAAACTCTCTATCGGGATCCTGGAGATCATGGACTGAGAGAATCTCTGAATCGTTGTACACCAAATGATCCACCGGTGACGAGGTTGGATCATTGGAATCAGAGTCATCTGCATGATTATTCAATGTAGGCCTGAAATAAAAGAAATAAAAGAATGATAAGAAATCTATAAAAAAAAAAAACTTAATCAAATAATCAAGTAAGGGAGTTTGGCCCTCTTGCCCCTCGTAATCTATTGTTCCTTGTTGTACCTTGTGACCCGTATGGCCCTTATGACCTTAAAGGTCCCTGAGGGCCGAACACTTGTGTTGAAGAATCGTTTTGCGTTTCACTGTCAACTTGTGTTGCAGTATCATCGCTGCAGAGCCAATCTATTAATTCAATAACAATTTTTCCTTGCTCGCAGTGGGCATTTGGGGCGCGGGGTGCTGCATGATTTGTTATTAAAATTGCCTTTAATGCAGCCTCAAAATGGGTACAGGTCGGATTGGTGTTTACTCCACAGTTTTGGCTAATTGGGCCAAACAAGTTTTCCAGGGGATCTTGATTTAAATGCCTTAAAATCAACTTAAATAACTCCAACTTCCTCAGCCATTAACGATCATAACAGCAATTTTAATTAGAACTCAAAAAGGAAAGAATCGTAAGAGAAAAAAAAACAATTCTTCCACTATTTTCAAATGTTTCGAACACACAAAGTGGTCAGGGTATTTATTTATTCTCTATTTATCAACCTATCAATTCTTCAAAGGTTGTGACATAAAATCTCTTAAACCAAAGCAATCTCAAAATTTGAAAAATCATAACAGTAAACAGACACCTGTTGGAGCCCTTCATAACTGTCAACAGCTAGTTACATATGAAAAGACTTTAAAATCAAAATTTTTAATCCACGTTGGTGGAGATCTTGCCATAGATCTTGTAGAGCTGATAGCAAAGTCACTAAGTTAGTCTGAGATGAGGGCTTAAAGGTAACTCCTTCCATGTTCTTAAATTTCATTTCTGCTGCTGATTTACGGCATTTTGCACATTGTGCCTAATGATCCGAGTCCGGCGTTGGTTTTTTAATTCTTCAGTCCTGATCCTTCCTTTTTGGCCTATTAACATAATCGACAAGATCATTGAGGTCGTTAACAATGGTGGATGTGTTGGTGAAGTTGGCAGTCTTTTCCTCATTGCCATATTTAGCTAAGAGTCTCAAGGTACCAGCTGTTCTTTTGCTGAAGACCTGCGCCGCATACTTGACACGCATTTTCCCTTTGGAAGTTGGAAATACATGACTTGCCCACCCTTATCTTCAGCATTTATCTTTCTTTCGTTTCATCGGCCTGTGCAATGAAGAGAATCAGTCTTTTCTGCCCATCATGTTCAACTGTTCCTTAATCGATCTTAAGTCTACGGCGAGGTGCTATTTACAGGCGAATTGGGTGACACCACAATTACAGAATGTAATCGATTACCCAGGATTATGGGACTGATTACACTGATTGCCATTGCCTATGTGATAACCGTGATTACCAAGACCACAGAATGTGATTACATGATTACAAATGATTTCGTCGATTACATTCCCCGAGTCGCATAATTGGACCTGACAAATTCTACTTAGGTCTCTCCGTTCAGAACTGGATAGGTCTTGGGAAGCCTCTTCCCAAGTGCTTCCGAGACCTTTCTACCTCTGGTTATGTCCCACTTCAGCACTTGTTAGGTGTAAGCAGGACTTGCATTCAGACTTTCCAAATCCTTGCCGGTCCCCGTAATTCTATGGGCCTATATTAAATCTGCGTTCATATCCCTATTTACTCATGCGTTATTGAAATAAAAAATGCAATTATTGTTTTTTTTTGCAGGTGAAGGGGATGGCATGTATGCGGAGGGTTCAAATTTGTAGCCAACGAGGAGACAGGGTTGCAGAATATATTTTAGCCGCCCTCATCTCCCCGTTTGCAGGCGGTGTTTAAATAAAAAATGGTGAACGTTGATTCTGTATTTATTGACC